AAACTCCTTGTGTTGAGAGATGGGGAAATATTATAAACCAGTTTTGAGTGTGGTTATCAAGTTGTTCATTCATTGGAGGGTACAGTGTAGTAAATAATATTTCCAGGAATATTGTCAAGCTCAGCTCGTTTATTCTTAAAAACAATTCCCCATAAGAGTTAAACCAGAAATCACAACTTTTGGCGCAGTATTGTTCTGACATGTTTTCTTTGAACAATAGGTGTATGTAGGGGTGAGGGAAAATTCTTGCCCAACTAAAGATTTTATCTTATCCTCTTAGCCATGGAAGAACATGAAAGTCAGGTCCTCCAGGTTGAATGTAGCATGGAATGCTCTCTGCACTGGTGAACAAGAGCAAAGTCACTCAGTAGGTACTGATATAGTTCATGGTAGATGGTATTTATTATAGAATTGCATAATTGAGTAAAATCACGCATTCTGATTGGTTAACGAAGAGAGGTATTCAGTGTGGAATTGCGAGTTGAAAACGAGGCTAAGGGATGTTTTTTCGCATCTACGTAACAACTATCGTCAAATTGTAACACAACAACTGCAAAAAAGGTTTTCTACAATGTCATTTTAAAATGTTTTCAAAATCATTGTCACCTTTTGTATATCCTTTCTTAACATACTGTAATGTCGCCTGGTCCTCCACCTACTGTTCCAGCCTAAACTGTATTTACCTTTTGCAAAAGCGTCTAGTGCGGCTCATAACAAAAGCTCACTATCTAGCAAATACCGCCCCTTTGTTTAGCCGGCTTAAAGTCCTTGACATATTTAGTATTAATTTATTTTCTGTCACTACTTTTATGTATTGTTATCACCATAATCTTTTGCCTAGTAGCTTTCGTGACTTGTTCTTAAGTAGTAATCTGAAGTCCATCAATACCAAAATTCGACTGGCCTCTCAGTATAGACCTCATTTTTGTAGATCAAATATAAAGCAATTCAGCATCCTTTACCGAGGACCTAAAATCTGGAATTCGTTGCCTGTTTCACTAATTAGCTCTCCTTCTATATTTGTTGTTACAAAAAATTTAAAGAATTATCTCACTGATAGCCGATCTGTCGCTTAATTTTCTGATCTTGCTCACTCTGCACTCAGCCATGAATTTAGTTCTCTAGGTAGTTGAAGGAAGCCTATTAATATAAGCTTCAAGCTTCGTTAGACTTCCTTGTCACATTAATTTTATAATTTAATTAACACCTTTTGTTTATGTTGTATAAGGTTTTGTGAGTGACTAAATAAATAAATAGTTAAAAACAAACAAAAGCATTTTTTAAAGTGATCCAAAGGTTCTTCCTTGTTTTGAACTAAACTACAAATTCTTGGAGAGGTATAAAAAACCCCTTTCGCTAGCGACAATGAGAAAACAAGAAAATCCTGTCAACACAGCCCAGAAAATAACAAGCCAAATTCAAACAAACAAACCGGAGAAGCGACAATGGAGGAAGTGCCAGGGTCAATTGTCACATATACAGAAGAAGAAATAAATACCTTCAAAGATCACATTGTCCCTGAAAACACGAAAAAGAGTACGCCACTTGCATTCATCCTGAGTCGTGGTACTTAGAAAAGTACAAAACAGAGCTGAACTTGAACAGCATTTTTAAAACATTTCATGGTACTTACCTTATATCAATCGCAACGTTAAACTTTCAGTGCTTTGCCGTGGACACTTCATTTCTTTCAGTTTTGCTACCGAAGAGGTAAAAGGTGTAAATTATTTTCCTTCGCGAGCAAATGACCAATTTGAAAAAGGATTATAGATAACCGGCTTGTAAATTCAGTGAAATACCTCTATTTATCCTTACAATTAGTGTGAAGCTTGTTCATGTGTAAAAAAGTTTGAAAACAAATGTAAAAACAAGCACAAGGTACAAAAAAAGTTGTCAAAGGTTCAAACGTGTATGACTGACCTTGCTTCCTATTCGCTAATGCAATGATAGGTTTGACATTTGACTTTGAAATGGCTTTCTGGGGCGCGTGCTCAGGATAAAAACAAACAATATTATTGGTGTTTTCTTTTTTTTTCTGATTTTTATTTGATTATGCGATTCAAGGAAAATCCATTACCTGACTCGTGAATTCCACGTTAAATTGCACTTGAAAACCGATATCGGTTTTCGTGTGCAATTTAACGTGGAATTCCCTCGTCAGGTAATGAATTTTCCTATAAAACTTACTAATATACGTGGAAAAATTTCTTGAATCAGATTGGCTTAGAGCAGTGCAGTTTTTAGTAAACACAGTACAAAAACAAGGAAACATAATGCAAAAATAAGGAAATAAAGTGCGAATTTCTCAGAGAATGAAAACCTGTGATTGGCTAATAAACAATCAGTGTTCTCCAGAAGCGCGGGCAACTGGCAGTTTCACTGGGAACTCTTTTCCAAAGTGCCAGCTACTCTTATGAGTCAAAACATAAAAAAAAAACTGTCTGTAACTTTTATCTTCAATTTTTCGTAAGTTCCATTTTTTTCCGCGAAGGATAAAACGGCACCCAAATCAAATCGTGTTAATTCATTTCTTAGAATACTAGAACATGCAATTTCATCGGGAAAATAACAAACAAACGAAAAAGCCACAAGGGCTTGTTTGAAAGTTTATCGAAAAACACATGAAAATACATGGAACTAAAGTGCCTTGAACAGCTACAAAAGAAGACAGTAACTGTTGTTGTTTATTCATGGTTGCGAAGCCACTCGCTGAGGCACTTGCCGATAGATAGCTGCGGCTTGTTTATCTGACATGAAGAATATAAATCACAAGCAACTAGAATACATGCTATGCAGCCATTCACTACAGCAATCGAGGCGTCAGTAAAGCTTCTTTTCTTGTTCAGCAAAACCAGCTTGTGGCTTCAAACAACGTCATAACAAGCGACCAAGGTAATAGTTTTTCTCCGTTGTTCTTACTTTTGTAACTGCTCCAAAAATCCAAATTCACAGTAATTTTGATGGCTGTTAAGAATTATTTTTCTTCACATTATCTGCCAGGTTTTTTTAGCTGTCCCGCTGTGTAAAATCCTAGAATCTCGATGAGTTTTTAAAAGTGTTCATCTTTACAACGTTTTGATTTTTCATTCATCCAGTCCAGGAGAGTCGGTTCATGCGTTGACAGTTCTGATAGACATGTGACATGTGAATAGCAGAACTCCCTTGTCTTTTCTGGTTTGTCCTAACAAGATTCAAAGGGATTTTGTGGGCGTTTTTAATAAAATAATTATTCCACTTGCGCTTGTTGGATGAGATGATTATTGCCAACTCGGCGCTATGCGTCTCGTTGGCTATTTTCCATCTCATATCCAACGTGCCCTCTTGGAATAATTGTTAATTATAAAATAACTAAGATAGTACGTGCATTCTGATTGGTTAAAAACCAATAGTTTATTGTGCCGGTAAAATCATAGAAAACTGAAACATGCTTTAAAGTTATTTTATAAAAGTAAAAGACCACATTTTCTAAAGGTTTGCTGGTGTGATAACCCACTTGGGATGTTGGGAGAAGACTGGAAAAGCTTGTAAACCACCAGCTTAACTTCTCAGATCTCTGGGCCTCATGCCCCCAAACCCCCCCTTAGATACGGTACTCTCGCTTTACCAGCACTTGGTGTCAGGCACCAGTTACTTTACATCGGGAGCTGGCTACTCTAAAACTTCTGGAGAACACTGAACAATAGAAATATATAAGAACCAATGAGCCTCAGGTGTCACAATCTGCTTGCTTATCTTCTTAGCCATGGAAGAACATGAAAGTCAGGTCCTCCAGGTTGAATGTAGCAGAAAATGCTCTCTGCTTGGTGAACAAGAGCAAAGTCAATCAGCAGGTACTGATATAGTTCATGGTAGATGGTATTTATTATAAAACTTAATAATATACATGGAAAAATTTCTTGAATGAGATTGGCTTAGAGCAGTGCAGTTTTTAGTAAACACAGTAAAAAAAACAAGGAAAAATAATGAAAAAATAAGGAAATAAAGCCAAATTTCTCAGAGAATGAAAACCTGTGAACAATCAGTGTTCTCCAGAAGCGCAGGCGACTGGTGGTTTCGCTGGCTACTCTTATGACTCAAAACAGTAAAAAAAACTGTCTGTACCTTTTATCTTGAATTTTTCAGAAGGTCCTAAAAGAAACAAAAACAATAGCTTGTCGTACAAAAAGCTCTTTGGTGTATGACAATTTGCCTTTTGCTAATGGTATTATCGATATATTTACTGAATGATTTTTGATGAGACATTGCCAGATAATATTTTTTAATTATAAAATAACTAAGATAGTACATGCATTCTGATTGGTTAAAAACCAATATTTTATTGTGCTGGTAATCTCATAGTAAACTGAAACATGCTTTAAAGTTATTTTATAAAAGTAAAAGACCACATTTTCTATGGATTTACCAGCTTGATAACTCACTTGGTTCTTGGGAGAACTCTGGAAAAGCTTGTAAATAAGGAGCAAAACTTCTCAGATCTCTGGGCTTAATGCCCCTAAACCCCTCCCTTAGATACAGTACTCTCGCTTTATCAGTTCTTGGTGTCAGGCACCAGTTTCTTTGCTTTGGGAGCTGGCTACTCTAAAACTTCTGGATAATGTATCGGTCAAATCGAAGCTTCAACATGCCCCCCCCGGGCAACCCCCCAGGCATTTGACTTTTTTGAAAATTATTGTTCAAAAATTCCCCCCGACCCGGGCCCAAAATGCTGTTCAAATGCCCCACACTAGGGTCCATTCAGGTGATCAAATGCCCCCATCCTGGGGACATTTCACAGGCACAAAAATGACAGAAGGACGGCGGAAACGCCTTCAGTTGTCGAACAAAATCTTTATAAATATAACAAAAACACTGTTAGCGTATTTACTACGAACAAAAAACTCGTGCAAAGCGGCAGAAATCGCTGCTACAAGGTCACTGAATGCTCAGCTTTTCTTCATCATGCAACATCCAAAGGGTTCTATAAAAAAAGATCCCACCTATTGAGATTACTACATCATGACCATTTCACTGACATGCATCATCGCTCACCGTATAAATTAACATACTTGCAGTAGGTCAAAGTAGTTGACGTGAGCTTTTTATTTTATTTTATTCTATTTTATGTTGTAGTATTGAATCGCTGGCATAGGTATTGTATTTCATTGTAAACACAACAATAACATACATTCATACATTCAAAGCCTGAATCCAGTATTAAAAATTTTAAAATTTAAATACTTCAAAAACGGCACAAAGCTTGTTTAAGCCCTTTCCTTGTAACCAATTGGCCACAAAGGCACAATCTTTTCCTCGAAAATCCTCTAACACCGCGTCCCCCATGATAGCTCGTCACGCCAAAGATTTTACATGAAATCGAGGGTGCAGTTCAAATTCCCCACCCCTAAAGCCTGGGGATCAAATTCCCCACCCCCTGGAAGACTCTGATAATCAAATTCCCTCCTCCCTGGGACGGAAAAGGTGTCAAATGCCCGGGGTATGCCCGGGGGGCATGTTGAAGCTTCGATTTGACCGATACATAACACTGAACAATAGAAATATATAAGAACCAATCAGCCTCAGGTGTCACAATCTGCTTGCCCAACTTATTAAGATTATATCTTATCTTCTTAGCCATAGAAGAACATGAAAGTGAAGTCCTCCAACTTGAATGTAGCATGGAAAGCTCTCTGCCAGGTGAACAAGAGCAAAGTCATTCAGGTATACATGAAAAAATTTCTCTGTGAATTTGATTGGCGTAGAGCAGTGTACTTTTTAGTAAACACAATGCAAAAACAAGGAAACATAATGCAAAAAGAAAGAAATATAATGCAAATTTATCAGAGAATGAAAAACTGTGATTGGGCCAATAAACAATAGAAATTTATCAGAACTAATTAAGTGCCACAATTTGCTGGTGGGAAGCATGTATTCTTTTAAAACTTCCCCCTTATTGGTGTAATTAATTATGCTCTGTTGTCTTACCTAAGTAATCTTTCCTTTTTCTTGTAACACTTTTTTTCTCAATATTTTATTTTATGAATTTACCTGATTATTTTTATTTATTTATTCATTGTGGGTTGTTTTTGTTTTCATTTTTGTAACCAAGATTTTGAAATTAATAAAGGTGTGGGTGGGCGTGTGTGTGTAACAAATAAGAATGTTAAAACTTTCATATATATATTTTTTACATGGACTCAAAAGAGTATGGGGCGCCGTTTGTAAAAAAAAATGATTTAGCTTAATTTTGTCATTTTTTTCGTTATTTATTAAATAAAGTTTTCTGATATGATATCATACGTCAATGATTTGATATAATAAATGTTGATTTCAAATCATGCGTTTATGATTTGATATAATAAATTATTATTTAAAATCATGCGTTTATGATTTGATATAATAAATTATTTTTTCAAATCCTGCCTTTATGATTTGATATAATAAATCCTGATTTCAAATCATTCGTTTATGATTTGATATAATAAATCCTGATTTCAAATCATAAGTTTATGATTTCATATACTAAGTTCTGATTTTAAATCATAAGTTTATGATTTGATATAATAAATCCTGATTTCAAATCATAAGTATTATGATTTCATATAATAAAAATCATTATTTGATATCAGTAAAACCATGATTTAATTTAATAAGTAATAAGTAACCGCGTGACTTGGCACGTGGGTTACTACCGCGGGAATAATCGCAAAAAAGGGCGACACAACCAGATCAGGTCAATCGCTTCTGCGGTCTCTAGAGCCGTAGAAAGGGCGGTTGACCAAGCTTTGGCATCCCTTCCGAACATATATATGCTACTGCGATTTGTCGCCAAACCAGAGTCTCAATGTTACGCCTGTACAATGATTTTTGTTCGCCAAGGACGCTTGGACCGATGTCACTAACTAATAATTTCTCCTCCCGGTGTTGAGGTGTAAATAGCCCTTTGTTTGTCTCGATCTCTTGTTCTATGACGAACTGTCTTGTCGCCTCACTTTGTGAAATAGAAACAATCATTAGCTGTATGTTATTTTAGTATGGCTACTAAAAGGACATAACAAAGGAAGCAAACACATCTAAAAGTAAGCCGCGCGTGTCACGCAATGCGCCAGACAAACGAAAGGTCCAAAAGTCCTCTTTCCCTCGTAAATATGGTCATAGCTTTCAGCAGTGATACATCCTCGGGAGGGGTATGTGCCGCCTGGGACTCCAAATAGGCAACCCGTTCTAAAAAAAAAATATCCCTAAAATTGATACCCCGTTCTAGATATGGGCCAATTTTTTTATATCCCGTTCTAGAATTCGCCTTAAAACTGATACCCCGTTCTAGAAATGGGCCGACTTTTTATACTCCGTTCTAGAAAGTTCGTAAATTGAAATAGCCCTGTTTTTTTTAAAAGATATTTCTTTATTTGTTCGACTTATACATCAAATAGATGCTTCTTCATAATCAGCAACAATTTTGAGCAGAAGATAAAGCCATGATCCACAATTTTTTAATACCCCGTTCTAGAAAACGCCTCTGAAATGGATACCCCGTTCTAAATCAGGAGCTTCAAAATCACGACCCCGTTGGGCGGCACATATACCCGTACAGGTAATGTATGAGAGTACCCCCGATACATCAATGTTACATACGTCTTGTGTCGCAGCAGCAAAACCTGAATTGCCAGGAAGGCTCGGAAGGGATGCCAAAGCTTGGTCAACTGCCCTTTCTACGGCTCTAGAGACCCTAGAAGCGATTGACCTCGATAGCTGATCTGGTTGTGTCGCCATCTTTGCGATTATTCCCGCGGTAGTAACCCACGTGCCAAGTCACGCGGTTACTTATTACTTATTAAATTAAATCATGGTTTTACTGATATCAAATAATGATTTTTATTATATGAAATCATAATACTTATGATTTGAAATCAGGATTTATTATATCAAATCATAAACTTATGATTTAAAATCAGAACTTAGTATATGAAATCATAAACTTATGATTTGAAATCAGGATTTATTATATCAAATCATAAACGAATGATTTGAAATCAGGATTTATTATATCAAATCATAAAGGCAGGATTTGAAAAAATAATTTATTATATCAAATCATAAACGCATGATTTTAAATAATAATTTATTATATCAAATCATAAACGCATGATTTGAAATCAACATTTATTATATCAAATCATTGACGTATGATATCATATCAGAAAACTTTATTTAATAAATAACGAAAAAAATGACAAAATTAAGCTAAATCATTTTTTTTACAAACGGCGCCCCATAAAAGAGCAGCTATATAATCAGTGATTTTGTTACCTCTGCATTCTATCTATGTTCCTGACACAAAAAAATCGCCAAAGACATAAAATAATTCATGGATATATCGATCTGAACGTGTGTATTTGTAGAAATATCCCGTACGTGTAATTTCTGTGGCAGTTATGGTTGTTGTTTAGTGATGCATATTTGTTTTAGCCTTTGTTGACTTCTGCTTTAAAATAGAAGAACTATATTTCAATTTCAGTATACTATAATACAGAGTTTTGGAGTGTGTCTTCAGATTAACTGTCTGTGGCTGGTACATAAAGGCCCAAACATTTTCCATTTTGGACTCATTTTTTTAACTGGGACTCATTGGTTCTGGACTGGGACTAATGATTTCTCACAAGATGAGTCCCAGAATTCATCATATTTATTTGTAACAAAAACACTGTATAATTCATTGATTAGACCTTTTGTCATGTAATTCAAGTGTTGTTGTTGTGGTAAACATGACAAGTCATCATGTCTGTACTTAATTCTCCATGACTGGATTGTAGGATTTTTGTTCTGTTTGTATTTGATCGTGCATTATTATTGTGGGAAAACTTACCTTAGGGTTGCATTACTTTGACTAGGACAAAGTTAAAATACATTGAATTCTCATAGAGATAATTATTTTTTTGGATTATAATAATGAGTTCATTGGTTGGGTCACTCCCATTATATTTGATGACTGGTTTATGAAATATCAGCACTTAGAAAATGATTGTCAAGGTTGTTGTATTATCCGAATTTTCAAAAGTAGAAATATTGTGTATTTTCTATTTGAAATCAGGTTTTGAGAACACTTCCACAGATACAGCTTTATAATAGTAATTCTTGTACAGTTATACAAGCTTGCAGTACTAGGGTGCGAAGAAAAGGAGGTCAGTTTTGTGCTTGTCCTTCGGGAAGGCTGTAGCTTGCATCTGTTAGCCCAAGAATCACAACTCTATTATCCCTCAGGCAAGATAAAAAATAGAATCCACTAGCCCCATAGCTTATATGAATTGTGTAGTTGGTTAATACAAATAATTCATTTACTAGGAGAAGAGTTGGAGCAACACACTCCTGCAGTAGAAAATGGCCCAATTGAGGGAGCAAGCAATGTGCAGGAAACACAGCAACCTCTTCCAGAAGTAAATAATAGTAGCCACTTAGAAGATGACCGCCTAATTGCTAGAGCAAGGGCAGTTGGTGTGGACTATGAGTTTCCAAAGCCTGGTGAAGTGGAAACGGAGGATGATAGAAGAAAAGATTTTATTTACTTGAATCCAGTCCATTCCTTTTTCTCTCCAACAACAATGATATATTAAGAAACATTGTTATTATAGCTGGAAATTTCTTTCCAACCATGTGCACACTCATTGGTTATTTCAATGTCACCTGACATCTAACAATGAAACTTTTTGGTGCCAATATTCTCTAAGCAGGCAACATCGCAAAAATCATTCACATCAGAGGGTAACAGTGCACTATTACCCGTGAATGACCAACAACTGACCTTCCAGGGAGGTTTAATGAATTTCCATGCAGCTATAAATTTTTTAAAATATTAACATCACAAATCACTTAAAGACTTGGCCCATGGGAAACGGGCGTCTGGAAAAACCGGAAACCGGAATCCGGAATAGGAACGGGAATGGGAACAGGAACCGGAACCGGAACCGGAACCGGAAACAGCAACGGAACAGAAACAGCAATTTGAAGGGGAACCGATACAAGAACAGGGATATCATTTACTTTAAATTATTTTAATTCGAATTCAATTTATACAAAAAATAAGAACACTACTCTGGTATCATGTTCCCCCCCCGAATCTCTTTATAATACGGCAGCAAGGAGGTAGAAAAAGCCGCAAGTTAAATAAGTAAAGCAACAGCTTTGCGAGTGCATCGTATCGCGCTTTCTGTCAAATTCTTCACCGCGTATGCACAACTATGATGTAAATGATCAAATCTTAAGTTCTCTTAAGAACGTGAACGACAGGCAATAAATTTTATTGTGTCTTTCTGAGCTCGGACGCGGTCTCCAGCTTCATTTCCCAACCTTTAAAAGACTGGGCAATTTGGAATTAATGAGAAATAGTTTGAATTAAGACCCGAATTCAGTTTCTCAGTAGCGTTTTCGCTGGCGTTGCCGTCGTCAGATCTTAAGGTTCCTTCTGTCTCTCACAGGAAGGTGGTTATCACATGTTAATATTATTTGTCAGACCATGTGTATACGAGACACCCATCGGAGACGTTTATTGGGCTGCCATACACCTCAGGTTTGCTCCATAGATATATTGTACGGTGCTAAATTGGGAAGTTAACCAGAGATAGATAGTCCACAGCTTCAAAAGGGTATTAACATGTACTTCCCCCCCCCCCCCAAAACCCATCTCAGCGGCCAGTACTTCATCTACCTCAACCGCGTGCAATAGGGACCTTAATAAGCAAGCAGAACGTTGACGTCCAGGACATTAAAAATGGAAACTGGAAGTGGATGTTTTCTGTCTTTAGGTGCTCTGACTCAACAAATTCGCACACTGGAAGGCAAGAGGAAGAATTCAGATTCGTTGTGTGAGACAGAAGCGTTCCATCAAGCGACGGTCAGCGTTCTCGTTGCTTAAGTTCGCTATTATGTTTGACACGAAAACACAATGTGTCATAGGCTAAAGATAAAGAAAGGTTAATTAGATTAACATTTCAAGGGTGTTTTCTTGTTTCTTTAATTATTTCTCTGGCTTTTTATTTATATCACGATTATATCTTTTTCTTTTCATATTCTATACACTGTTTATATTTCCGTTCCTATTCCGGTTCCTATTCTATTTTTCCCTTATTTTTCGTATATAATCTGAACAGGAATTAAATCCAGATTAACTTAAATTAAGGTAAATGTTGTCCCTGCTTTTATATAGGTTTCTCTTCCCATTCCGGTTCCTATTCCGGTTCCGGTTCCTGTTCCTGTTCCTATTCCCGTTCCTATTCCGGATTCCGGATTCCCGCTTTTCCAGACGCCCATGGGAAACAGTTAATTTTGTTTTCCAAGAATCTAAATATTTCCCAGCACCATTCTCATTAGTTACTTCGAGGTCACATGACATCTAACTGTTTCCCACCACAATCTCTGAGGAATTGCCAGGCTAATTGACCAGCTGCTGTGGAAATTGGAGAATGACTATGTGAATGGTTAGGTACGTTAGGTACAGTGCCAAAGTTGCATTGATAACTGTGGTGATCGTCCCTGAATTTATTTCTGCATTCTGCATTGCCAGTATATGAAATTAATGTATTTATTATACCATATATAACTTTGTTGTGTGAATTCACCTTGGATAAGTTAATCTTTTCATGTGCTGTTTGAAAGTTATAGAGTTTTAGTTTTAGTTTCAACTTTTAAGACCTTTTTCTTTCCTGCTCTTTAAACCTTATCTAACTACGTGTTACTTTTTTCGTAGTTTTCTTTGACTCCTCTTCTTCCTTTGTCGGGAGTGGGTTGCGGCTACACGTAGGCTAGATTACATCCCGATACCGACTGGGGGGTATCAGTATTTGCAACGAGGTTATATCGTATTGTGTACCAGTGTGAATAAAACGATCTTCATCATCATCATTATTATCGTTATTATTATTGTAATGAAATCGGGAGCTCCGCTTTTAGGCTTGGCTAAATCTATATATTATAATGTTTCGAGTTCGGGTGAATTAACCCGCACTAGCTTCATTTTGCGCCATGATGGACTCGCTTTCTCTGGGGTTGCAACACAAGGCGGCCCAAACTTACGTTGCGAGAAAAGGTTGTAATGTAATTTACATAACATAGGAGACGCGCCGGTGTCGCGTTACAGGCGACCGTTGAAAATATAAGAGACTTCGTATGAGAAATATATTACTGAGATCTGCGAACGCTAAATAACGCTAAACCTTACTTTTTCTTAAATGAAATGAATAAAAAAGTCTTACCTGCAATCTATTCCACTGCGTTTTGGTGTCTGTTTGTCGTTTTACTGTTTTTTTGGCTTTATTGCTGTTACTCCTTCGTTCTATGAAAGGAGTGACAGCGGTTACGCAATAAAGCCAAAAAACAGTAAAACGACAAACAGACACCAAAACGCAGTGGAATAGAATACTTTACTTTTTTTACACTTTACTTCTCAAATAAATACATGAATAAAGAATAGATGGAAAAAAAAAAAGCAACAACATTCAAGCGTAAAATTGATCGGCAGGCAACACAGGACTTTTATTGCCAAAATGCTGCTTGTTCCAATGAATTTTTTTCTCTGGTGGTTAGATTATGCTCTGCTCTAGAGGAAACCCTCTTGACTAAGCAATTGTCATTTGCCGCTTATTTCATACTGAGAGGTCATGGCTCGCATATTGATTTTCTACGGTTATTGTTTCTGGTCGGCATGATTTGCCCTTTGATTGATGTAAGAGCATTCGTTTGACCGCTTTTGAAATGCTATGCTCTTCATTGCGGCTAAATAGGGGTTTTAGGTTGTTTAATTTTTTTAAGTGCCTCCTGGATCCGAATAATTATAAGCGATTTTCTTTTACTCCGTGAATGTGACGGTTTCCTACAATTTTTGTCACGAGATAACTACCGCTTACAAACGCTTTTGAGTTACCAGGTTTAGATTCCTGGTAACTGTCTCCAGCAAGGGCACAACAGAGGAATGTACATGCGTAAAAGCGTTAATGTATTTCGAAATAAACCTAAACCCGTGGACATTGATAAGTTCGGGGGCATTTTCACGGTTGTTTATTTTATAAATCATGTCTTGTTTCCAAACGGGCACACAAAGCCTTTGCACAGAGACCCCCACCCCGCCCGATTTTTCCTGAGGGGAGGCGGGTCTGTACACAGGCTATTAACACATCAGAGAAAAATCAAAATTAAATATTGACACTTCCAAAAAGATCATTAAGTCAATAAAGCTCTTGTAATGTGGAGGGTGCCCGGCTTTGTCTGATTCCTCAGTAGACAAGTTGAGCTTCTAAGCGTGAAAATAATAGAGTTTTTTGGGGGTGTAATGTCCCGCCTGTCTTAAATTTTTACAGCGAAAAAACCGTCTTGAGAGAAATCTGAAGCAATTGACAAACGAAGAAATATGCGGTTGATACCATATCCTTTTCAGATTTATTCCATTTTTTTGCCTTGTGTAATTGACTTGTTACGTGGTGTTCTTCTTCCCTTTTTCTTTAGAAGGCAAGAAACAAAGGTTCCGTTTTGATAATCAGCTCCTTTTTGTAATCAGTCCCATAAAATCCATTCCATTCCTCAATTTTTCAAGGGATCATTTGCGGTCCATTTTGGGGATCATTTACGGTGTCGGGATCATTTGCGGATGGGGATCATTTGCGGTACTGTCCTACTTTTCATAGGCGCACCACTTACTGCGATTTTTACGATCTAAAACAAATTACAAAGACTGAGAATTTTTCGCCCACGGGGATTGCATACACGATCAGAATATACCTCTCGATCATCCAACAAACCCAACCTCACTTGTTTGCAAACGTCCGCAAGCACAATTCCAAATGAATATTTGCGCTGTGACGGTTTCAACAGATTTTGCGACGATGAATTTAATTGTTTACCGCTGACGTTTTCACGTTAAAAGAGTATTTACAAATCCTACAGCTGTGACTACGACGCGTTTCTGACATAATGTTTACGCGTGCATCGCTAGATTTTTTCGTGTCAATGCCCGGGAAAGCGCCTTTTCAAGCACGCGTCATTGTTTGCTTTGCAGGCGAGCGATTTGTTTTTTTTTTCCTGCCTGCCCCTCCCCCCGTCTCCTGTCCGTCCTCCTCCTCTGTTTTTTTGCTTTTCAAGATAACAGCCACGATCAATGAAACTCAGAGTTGCCGTTAAAAAATGCCTGTGCAGGCTAAGGGTATTGCGGAAAGATAACAAGAGGTTAGTGGGATACAATGAACGTATCAACTGCAAAAAGTTATGCGTTTCGCCAGCGTAGATCGGATCTCAAACGTAACAGCGATTCCTGGACACATGGCGCGCCGGCGAAGATCTTTGCTGCATGGTGGTTGCATCAGGAACAGCTTTCTAACATTTGTGTTCAGCCAGAGTGGAAAGGAAATTTTGCCCTCCTTTAATAAGCCCATAATTCTATTGGGTCAAGGTATTGCTGATGTCTGCAGCCTTTTTTGAATCAGCTGTATACTGTACACTGTACATGTTCAAAGCAAACATACGATATGGCTTCTAAGCTTTTATTGTATAAAGCTACAATTGCTTGAAGTTCAATAACAGTGACTATAACCAGTAAATACACAAAGGGAAATGCACCCTTTTTAAAGAAGTAAAACGAAGTACATAGTTAAACAGCCTAACGAGAAAGCAAAAAGGATGAAAATTCACCAAAAAACACACGTTAGATGACCTTGATTCAGCGTCTGCGATTTTTTGAATCCCATGATCTCAGGGGCACAAGCTACGCTCTTTTTCACCAGGGTTTGCACTACTCAGAGAGAGCGAGATTCCGGGAGTTGAAAGACCCAGAAAAATATGCAAGTTGTTGATTCAAAAACTATTTTCTCACTTAAAAAATAGACAGACGTACATAAAAATGGATACAACTTCAGACGTGTCTATTCTCCCACTGCATTAACCCGTCACCCACACCAGTCCTGGGCGCTCGGTCATCCATGTTAATGCTCACGAGCTTTCTCAGCTTCTCTTAAATGTATTAGCTAAATAACCGAGCTTAAATTTTATTCTTGCTATAGGCGATGGTAATTTGAAAAAGCGTAAAATTGTCTTAGCAGACAGCCTAGTTATGATATAGAAGCTACGATTGGTTACAATCATGTTCAAACTGTTGTCACCCAGCTTAATACTCAGGTGAAGAAAAGTATTATAAATAATATATAAAAAAGTGAAGTATAATTGCTTATTACATTTAAAAAAAATCACACAACCAAGCAAACAAAAAGTAAAGTAAAAACAAAAGAAAAAGATTGGTAAAAGGGATTCAGCAAATGAACTTTTGAATTATACCGTTCATATTTTCTAAATATATCAACAGTTCCCTGCCAAACAATCTGCTCTACACAGTGCTATTCACTAGAATGGTTACAATGTATTTCTAAAGCTACACTACTACCTAAGATATTTCGGCAATGACTGGAGTCACCTTTTAGCTTCATTTTAGGGGAACCAAATTAAGAAAACAAAACAAGAACAACGACATGAAGGAATAATTTCCATATTTGCAAAGATGAAAGCAGAATGTTTGTTTTGCTCTCAGCCATAACAATTGATGGCCCCGAGTACAAATAAAATCATTACAGATCGATGAGGGGGAAAGGCAAGTTAGTGTCATTTGCCAGTTGTAGGTAACGGTTTCGGAAAAAGACCCAGACGCGCTTCCCTTTAAGAGAGACTTCCTATAGCCCAAACGAGTAACACGAAATCAAGCAAAGAGCCACGAGTGATTTCTTTTCTCTTCGTCACTTTGTCAGTGATTTGAATAAACATTATACGCCGTAAACAAGTGGTAGACAATACGAAAGGACTATGATAATTATTTCCATAGTTGCCTAGTCTGTTATAATTAACAGATAACACCGATTGTCCGCTGGTAACGTTTCAGTCTGCTCTTGGCCGATTTTTCTTCAGTAAGCAGCTAAGAAACTTTCGCAATCTTTGTTTTTTTCTTTAGGAGAGTAAAATTTGTAAGTTGAAACTTAATTTCAAGAAAATCGATCATTTACACTCGACGAAATATATAAAAACGGCCACAGAAATTTCTCAGGTAGTAGCATAAAAAAAAGTAATCAAAACTTTCACTCGCGACATTTATGGAAAATACCACTACAAAACATGCTACCAAAAAAACGAATCTCACGGTGTTAAATTTACGAAAACAGTTAATCCTATAAAATGTTTTATCTGCGTGTTAGATACGAAATTATTCCTAGCAATTGCCATATAAGACTTCTCTAAGAAAAACAGTTTTTTCTATTCTATAATAATAAGAGGGAAAATAACTAATTATTGCTGTGACATTGCCTTCGATTGACGTCTACAAAACTTCAACCTTTGGTGCTTGTTTTAGGAGCTACAATAAACTTAAGTTTAAATACCCTCATTTTTAATTAGTTAAAAATATACCAATGAGGAGAATGCGTACGTATGAAAGCAGACTCCCCATACACTACGGTGATAATATCTTCTAGAGCAACCCACAGCCAAACTCTTCAGTAAAGTTATCACCTGGCATAATTGCCATTTACCTCATTATTGGACCCCGCTATACTCTGGCCCTGAAACATACTAAAGAACAATTGCAAAACATAGGGATGCACAGAAAGAAACATTTCGAGCTTGACATGCATTTGATTTCTTACTTTCTTATTTTTTACTAAAGAGTGACACGAGCTGTTCATCCCTAGCCAGTCACGGTATCTGCGACTGGCCAGACGTCACTAGATCAGTTAGGATCTACACGATCATTGCATATTCAGTCTCAACATGTGGCTGAGGTTTTTTGGTTGGAGCGGCGGAATTCCTGGGCATGCTGCTCCCCTGGCCATGGTCTAATTCGGCGTATGTAAGTTCCCCAGGTTGCTGTAGAGAAGATAGAAGACAAACATTTTGACAACTCTACAGACAGAGCTCTTATTCAAATAATAACTAAGGTGGCCTAGGTAAAGACCAAATACATGTGCTGAGTTTGTTGTTGTTCCTTGTCCTTGTTAGGCGAGGTATTTCCCCCTTTTCCCCTTCACCATTTCTAATTTCCAGTTCGACCCCGAAAGATAAACAAAGAGCCACTTACTAAATTAGCGACTGTGGAAAACGTAAAACCGTTTCCAAATAACGTCGCGTCTGCCAGATTTGTGTCCCAAAACAATGATTATGCCAATTTCTCGAGACAAAGAAAGTATTTACACGGGGACATAGATCAATGCCCACAGCAATTTTTCGATATAGCACCATGGCCGCCGTTTAATTGTTTTGTACCCTAATATGGCCGCCGTGACGTCATGTAAAAACGACCTACATAACGGCGGCCATGTTGGTGTCCCAACCCAACCCTGTGGAAGTCGAACCCTTTTTTTTGTGCAAGCACTTTCTTTTGTTCCATACATTTGTATAGTTACTGACCACTTGAGTGAAATCCCGTTCTAAAACTAACAAAACTCCACAAAAATCCGTATTTAGAGGACGGGCCCCACGCAAGTGTCCGCAAATTAGGCGTGTCGGAAGGGAACAGGGGTGGCGCAGTGATGAGAGAAATCGCTTCCCAACAATGACTTGGCCTGGTCTCTAAGTACCGGCGTCGATGCCATTTTTAGTAGAGCTGTTGTTGGTTCTCTTTTCCGCTCTAGCTCCAAGAGAATTTTTTTTCCTTTTTTGTTGTGACCAATTCAAATTTCAATCTAATTCATGGTGGTGGTTGTGGTGGTGGTGTAGTAGTGGTAGTGGTAGTGGTAGTGGTAGTGGCACTTAAGTTTCTCAGTTCTGTCAAGTCGTACCCCCTTTAAATAAACTTAATTTCGTTTCAAAAGTTTCTTTGTTTAGTAGAGGGGTACCATGAGAGCATGCTCCAATAATTTACCTTACCTTGCTTTTGGGTCTCTCTGATTGATGGTAAGTGTTCTGTGAAGCCTTTGACTTTTGTTTTGATTTATCAACCTGCGCGTACACTACGCCAACAGGTTTGTCAGGTTCTTGCCCTTTCTTCTGTTTCTTTGGCTTTTTGCCAGGGGGTTCCTCCGGGCGCCTGGAAGATGATCCGGCAACTTCATATCCACTTCCGTTACCCTCAACGAGTATCCTGAAGGAAAATAAAATCAAGAATGTGTTTTTAGTATGAGCCACCTCGTGAATTGAGTGTGTTTTACATGACCTAATGTACACGTTCCTTTCTAAGCATTACGACTCTAACTATACATCTATTTACTAGGCGAAAAACTAAGAATTTTGTTAGGGCGAATTTAGTTTTCAACGACACACAGGATCATTACAGGAAAAAAAGAAAAAGAAAAATGATTTTTAAGGGGAACGCACTGTTGATATATAATAGAGATATATAATAGGACAGTCTCCGTCATAAAAAGGTGTCTGCACAATAGAGAGTCAAAGACAACGCTTAAGAACGGAGGGGACGAACTCTTAAATTTCGATGTATGTTTTATTCAGTATTGATCCTTATCTACGATGTATAACGAGATGAAGCTTCACTTCGCGTTTCTTTGTCCACCTGCTCCTTGCATTATTTCAGAGCTAGCCAAAACTTGGTGTCCGTTTTAGACGGTTCTCATTCTTCCGCCCTTAAAGTAAAATGGAGGGTACAATATCAGTAGCCCCTAGTACAGCAAGCGATATGTGTTCGGGGCTTCGGACTTATTCCAAAACTAAAGGGGAGAGGTGGAAACTGGAGGCCCTACACTGGGTCCGCTACTGCGCCACAGAAATAGGGCTTGTAAATCATAGTGATAACATACTCTGTCTCATAAGTGCGAAGAGGCTTCTTAGGAGCAGTCCTAGGCATACTGTTTCCCTGTTCAACAACAGCATAGGTGATATCTGCGGTTTTCTGTAGCAAACATACAATAATATTTACTCTCAGTGACTGGTCCCGGGGGGAAAAATTTTGTCCTCTGAAAATCTCAAAAACTTGTTGGTTCCTCACGCTACCAAAGACCGAAGGATTTTTTGTGAGGCAGAAGAAGACGATTCCATGTGAAATTAAAGAAGTGGTCAAATTTGAGTGTAACAGCGCATTGTAGTTATACAAGGCCCTTAAAGGGAGTGTAGGGATAACTAATGTTTGGAAAAAATATTGGAAAATGGTATATTTCAAAACGAAATATTGGGATATTCAAAGTAAACCTTCTTGACAAGATTTCGTTGAGGCTGGATTAATGAAGATTACATTCCAAAGAAATAACCAACATATAGAGATCAATAATTCATAGAACCTATTGCGGTCGAGGCTATCAATGCAAGGTGGTTGATACACTATAGATGAACAAGTGACGAAAGTGAGGAGACCATATGCCCAAACTCCTCTCTCTCCCCTTCCCCCTACCTCCCAAGTAAAACAACAAGATCTGGAAGAAAGTTACGAAGCCTAAACCCAACGTCTTTAGTGGTCTGTTTCCGTGCAGCATGGAAATTCCACATTGTACTTGGTGCGAGACAGTAGGAAATTCCAGAGCACAATATTATCTAGACTGCAAAACAGTCGGTTTTTTTCTCAAAATCAGTAAAGAAATCGGTAAAGCGTGGCGTAAGAGTCTTACGCGCGCGAAGCGCGCGAGCCTCACACGCCCATAGGGCGTCTCTCCCCAGTCTCGCTCTCTGTTTTCAGCCTTGTTCCAGACCTTTTGTTTGACTGCTTGCGCGTACTTGAATACGCAAAAATACAGACTGTTTTGCAGTCTAAATATTATCCAAAACAATGACAGCGTTTCAGTCATACTTACTCAATTTTAATAAAAGCAAAAGAAACTATTCTATGAGGAAAACAATCACGTACCTCCGGGCTCGCAGACGATGAATGAGTGTTATTATATCCATTGTTGCCATGACCACCCTGGATTTGATTCCTGCAAAGAGTGTAACCACACAATAGAACATAAATTATTAGTGTGGACTCGAAGTACTGTATATTGTATCCAAAGGGTGTTCCATCTAACATCCAAGCACTTCGAGGTCGTCTTATAGTGTGACTACTGCAACCGGGGCCACCTAGACAAAGTTGATCACTCCCATCACAGGAAAAAAAATACATTCCAAGAAAGCTGGTTGTGGGCCAATGAGCAGCTCGTAAAAAACAAAAAACAAAACAAAACAAAACAAAGGCAAAAAATAAAAATATTGATAGCAAACGTTTTTCTCGAAAGCAAAAAGCTTCACAAGACTATGTTCCTCTATTCGAAACTTTACATATAACACCCAGGAGACATTTGTTCCACACACGCTGTTATTTTGTTACTAACCAGCAATTTCTTCGCTACCATTGTCCCACGGTACAATAAACATGCGACCGCAAGACAAAAATATGATGAACGTTTACAGTTTTGCCTCCGTCAATACTCTAACGGACTTCTCAGGAAACATAGGCTTTTTCCAGCGGGTTGCAATTGGTTGACTTTGATCCATGTTGTTGATCTCATTTCGTGGTAATTATGATTGACAACTAACTTTCTCGAAATCACGAATGTATTGTTATTTTCCTGTCATCCAATTGGTCAACTGTGTCTGGGTGGCCACGGTTATAGTACTCGCACTGTAAAACGTTTAAGATAATAAAGCACATTTAACACCGTAAAATATTTTAAGGTAACGCTTTCGGCGCTAACCCTTCCATATTGCTTTGACTAGGAACTAGCGCTCGAAACTTCTTTCCCAACCCCAACGTCGGAGTACAATGTTCTTTTCAAACTAACCCCTTGGTTCCTCCTTTCAGTTCAACCCTCTTCTACATATAACCATACGGGGCTTTCACATAACTATAAGAATGAACAATGATAATACTCACATCTGTTGGCCTCCTTTATTTTCATCACCGACTTCTTTCCACCATGCAACAAAAAGCAAAGACAAGAAGCACAGATAAATACAGCCAAAATTTTAGTATCCCTCTGCTTTCCTCAAATCGGAGAGCGGTTTTAAATTTAACTTTGTAAATCCAAACTTTACATTCTTAAGTTGGTCAATTGCAACAGACATAAACAATCTTAGACCAACCGGAAAGGTCATAACGCAGCGCAAAGGACATATCTCTTTGTTGTGCTGGCTTTTTAATGCGCGCAACAAAAAAATTGAGGCAAATTTTGGGAATGTCGGTCTGACCGGGAGGGCAGGGGGAGCGGGGGTGCTTGTTGCATGGGCGCAATCAAGTACGCCTACGGATTTTGTATCTGCTGGATGAGTGTACTGTGTATGATCTCTTCTCTTCGCGTCGCCACGTTATGTCACGGCAACAATCACAACCACCGCCATGGTTAACAAAAATAGAGACCTTAAGATACCCCGATATCGGTGTACGGGTACGGGTACGGGTAGTGTACCCGTACACGTAAAATGTTCATGTGCGTGACTATTTCGATTAAGATACCCGAAGAACAAGAAACGCAAAATTAACTTTGTACATGCATGTCGATTAATGCATACAAAATCTCCCTCAAATTCTACACTTCATATCTTAACAACAAGCTGCAACAAATAATTCATTCATACATAAGCTTATTGAAATATCATAGAAAGATTTTAAAAAACTTGGCGGGAAGTCCCTCGACCGAAAGCTTGTTATCGCAAACCCCGCCATTTGATCGAGGCACATCACCAAACAATTCCTTTGATTGTCAACTTCAACAGTGACTTCCATGCTAAATTTTTCAATGCCATTTCTTTTGCGAAACTCAAATGTCCGAGCAATTCTCAGAAATCCCCCCAAATACCGCCACAAATTGATATCGTTTCAGAGTTCAACCTGCGCATCTGAGGAACAAAATCAATACATTTGAAGCGCTTTCTTTACAGCAAAAATTCAAATTTGGCAAAAATATTTGAACAGAATTGCAATAACATTGCCAAGGAGTCATACAATTTACATTTGTACTTAAAAAGTCTTTAAAACTTACTCGTTTCTCCAACATGTAGGACTTGCAGCTACTCGTAAATCTTCTACGGGTAAACTGGTGTCTACCCCGGAAAAACGGCTGGTTCTACCGGGTAAGGTCGATGACGTCACCACAAAATGAAAAAAACATGGCGCTACCCGTTACCCGTACACCGATTTCGGGGTATCTTAAGGTCTCTATTGTATGTAGCTCGCGTTTGGAGCACGCAGGCAAGTTACAGTTGCAAAGCTAAATCAATATTACTTCCCGAATCAAATTCCTCTTCCTTTTACACCCAAATTTGAAACCTCAGTAAGGTTTAAAACGACAACAGCCTTCTTTTCAAAATCCTGAAGGAGTCTGGTAGTTTAGCAAAATGGCGTCATCATATATGTGATGTTTTCAAGGTCCAGAAAAAAAACTGCTCTACCGGTAAACAGAAAGAAAAAAAAATCAAGAACTCAGAAAGGGGCGAATCACAGAAAAAAATGGGAGGATGAATAGCCATACACCAGCTAAAATTCCACAAAAATGCCAACAGGACCAGAATAGACAAGTTTCATTAATAACCACTTTGACATAACTCATGGCTATAAACAAAAACGGAACCAACGGCTTAGTTGCATAATAATAATAATAATAATAATAATAATAATAATTAATTTGCCTCTAGTAGAGATAATTATATCATCATGTCTTTGCGTAGGTTTTACAGAGTATAAAAATTTCATAATATTCTAAATTGGCTTTTTAAGTAGAGAGATTTAGATCATTATGTATATTAGGTTTCGTACCGACCCTTTTTTTACTTCTAAGTATAGCTTCTCAAGTGGTGTAGGTTACGTTATGCGCCCTATACTACTCATAATGTGGACAGCATTCCAAAGTTATGTACTGCGAAATAATAATAATAATAATAATAATAATAATAATAATAACAATAAATAATTTTATTCACTTATAAAAATATGTACATAATTTACAGAAATATTTGAAGTAAGAATTAAGCAAACAATAACAATCACTGTGTCAATAACGATTTCCCAAATACATTCCTTGCGGCTTGATGCGGTCAATAACTTTTGCTGGCAGTCCAGAGTTTTAAATTAAGTCGTTACAAAAAAGAATTATCCGTCTCTGATATTAAAAAGAAAACAAGTTAAAAAGAATAAAATCTCGTATTCCTAAATCCCAAATTCTTTAAAAAGGTTCTTCAAAAAGTTTAATTCGGGCAGGCTCTAATATTTTCGATCTGTAGATCTAAGTCAACAAAGTCTAGCTGTCGTCTTCTGGATCTTAAGCCTCTCAAGCATAGTATCGCATAGCGTACGATGGCGAAAGATACTTTAGCTCTTATCAAGGAAATTCCGCTTGAGCAACTTTCTCCGTTCTTATTGGCGATCAGCTCAGCAAGTCTGCTGTGGCACTTAGCACACTCATCTGCCATTCCACTTGTGGTCGTGAAAACTAGGGGGGTGAACGTTCCCTGTTCAATCTCCATTACTCTTTCCGCATACTGCATTAGAGTCTGCATTAGGGTGACACATCCGAACGTCGAAGAATGCAGATTTCTGTCTCTCCCAAAAACCTCGAGCATGAATATCCAAACGGGCATCAGGGGTTTTGTTAGCGCCATGATTTAATGTCCCCCCAGTGACCTCCTAAAGGACCGGCTCTACTTCCACATCATTACAGACCATCATTAGAATCTCTGCTTCCAAGTCGCGCAGTTCGTTGTGGCGCTGGATAATGAACCCGCCGCGCTGACACACTATTGCGTGATCCACGCTAAATGGAACACCGCATGCGCAGAGCATGGGCGTGTCCGATATTTCCCAGTCGTATCGTAACTTGATTGCTTCTCTAAATTCCTTACTTATTCAGATTGTAATTCAGCTCTTTCAGGGGAGCCACGGGCAGCCAATTTGATGATCCCTTTTCTGTAACTCACCAGCTCGGTTAGCTTTTGTCGGCAGGGACTTCTTCACCTGCTCCAGCCTCTCACTTAGAAACTCGTCTTTTTGTTTTCGTTTGCTCAGTTGGAGTGTCTGAATTTTTGAATTTCTGAGGCATCTGGTGGCTGGTGCTCTTACTGAACAATTCGCCTCACGAGCGGATTAGTAAACTTTGAGTAAAGCCTCGTATTTAGAAGATGAGGTCAATACAGGATCTGTAAATCCAAGGCCTCCCATGCGCACAGGGCGACCAAAGAGGTCGCGCTCTACTGGTCAGTACCAGCCGGTATGAGAATATCATTAATCGCGCGCTCGAGTGGCTCAAGTAATTCTGCAATATACCACTAACTTAAATATTATTTATACTCCTGATAGGTTAACAAAGTTAGTAGCGGAATGCTATTTAGTCAATCACATAGCACAGATAGCAAAGACACTGCAACATTTCAGCGTTCCTCGGGGCCCGCCATTTGATTTTGGAGAGGAGGAGGCGGTTGGCGTGGGCGTAAAAATGAATTTCTTTACAAGCCTCTCATTATTTTTATATAATAAATTTTTGAATTACTTCTTTTTTTAATTTTTAGATTCACTGATTTTTTTAAATCACCCCATCGCTTGCACTATTTACTTCAAAATATGAGTCGTTGGCCCATAAGGATAATTAAAACTGTGGAAAATAAAATGGGAGGGGCTGAGATTTAGATTTAGAGGACAGGAAAAAAACACAAAACAAAAACCAGAACAAAACTATCCATTATCTTTGTACACTGACTCACTTTTACTATCAAAAATGGAAAAACAACACGTTGGTATGTTTAATTTTATAGTTTATTGAAACTCTCTTTATCTAAAATGCTGTTTATAACAACCTCTAAAATTTATACGTATTTACACATTTGTTTTAGCTTCATGGTAAGCATAGAGAAAAAAATCATTGAAATTTCATCACAGGTTTTATAGTGTTACACTTATCCCCAGTGAAATAATAGACATTCAGCTGGAATGATATCAAGACGGTAATGGCAATACAAAATCAAGTTTTAAACTTGCTATTTCTTCTACAACGTTCATTTTAAATGCAAAAACGTTATTATTTAAATCGACTGACCTATATTTAACATGCTCTATCGTTAACTGTCTGGCTTTTTCACGTATTTTTTAATTCCTAAATGAATAATTTATGTGTATTAACGTTAAGCAGTGATTTAAATTTTAGTATTACATGTACTTATCGCAAGTGCTGCTCATTTGAAGCTGCACCTCACTCCTACCTTCTGAGCACTTCAAAATCTCCGTTTAATTACTGGAAACTTTCCTCAAACGTACTAGAAACGTACAATCGGTGGGCTGATAAGCGCCTCTACCAGGCTGTCGCGTGACAACAAACTCCTCAAAAGGCCAGGCTTATCCCGTCCGCGTCACAACAACAGATTACAGGTTAAGAAGTTAGAACTATGTGTTTATGAAGATTCTCACCTTTCATTAGTGTGGCATGGACCTTTTGAATTTGATCCACGTGATCCAATTAGCGGCTAAGTTGTATCATAACCGTGAAGTATGTCATGCGTCAAGACAACAGCCTGGTCATCTTTCCAAATCACATATTGCTACCCTCCAAATTTTTCAGGAGGAAGATATGCGTTCTTCTTGGCCATGCAGTGAAATATGCCGAGGCTTTTTAGTTTAATCTCTCACGACAGAATGCCTCACAATAGTTGTTTCTTTGTTATTTCTCACTTTATCTGTTTGGTTGCATTAAATATAAGTTGCCAAAGTTAACATAGTAATTACTTCATTAAGACAAACACAGCATCTTTCCCTTTAATTTAGCTGACGTTTCGTGCCAGGTGTCTAACACACTAAATTAACCTTTAATTAAACATCTATTATTTTCAATAATTTTGGGACATTGATTAACGCACCACAACTTTCTGAAGTGCACAGTCTATGAGTGATGCGCCGGTTATGTTATATTTAAGTTAGTAACTTGTGAGAGTTTCATTATTCAGTGCTCCAACGATTTCAGCGTGTCTGGACCAGGAAACGTCCTGATTGGCAAATCGTAACGGTTGAAAATAAAGTGGATTTTTAATTAGTGGGTTGTGTTCTTTATTTAAAAAAAATAATAATAAAAATGGAACTGTCTCATCAAAGAAAGTGCAACCATATTTAGTGGAACAAGATTCAGTTCTTTTAGTTGTCTAAAATGGAACTGACACAATCCAAAGGCGCGATTTTTGGCCAATCACAGTCCGTTGCATGGTCCAGAATGCCTTCACAACAGCGCTATTTAGAGCTAATGCACAAACCAAGCATTAGAAGAAAGAAACATTAGAACTCTGCTAGACAAATTTCAAAGGTGAAGAAAAACTCTACAAACTAAAAGCCGCAATTGGAGTTACCATTATTAATCCGCTGGATAGCGCCTTTTTCGGTAGTTTGCACTTTACAATCTTATAACTATACTGTATATTGATGCCTGTACAGCAAATGATGATAAGCTTCAAACATTTAATCAATTCAGAGTTGGTAAAAACACCCGCAAAATAATCGAACTTACTTCTTCGGTGCAAAGTGCAATACGCTAGGGTATTATCTTTGAGGTCTGCAAGATGCTACCAGATGACACGGTTGCTGAACCAAAGCTGAGAGCAAAGTATTTATTTAATAACTGAATCCATGTTTAGATCGAATTCAGTGTAGTGAGGTGGAAAAGTTTAACTAAATTTCTTGACTTTAGAAGACTTAAGTACTTGGTTATTAAGCTGTAACCTTTTCTTGGCGGTTTGGTTTCCACGGGACAATTACTCTTGCATTACCATCTGTGCGCTTGCCTATATACATGAAGACATATCAGATCGCACTGACCTTTTCGGGAAATTGTGTTACAATAGCTTGAAAAAATGTTGTTGTTGTTTGTTTAATTTAATCAATTAATTTAATTAATTTGACCATTATTTTTATGCTTAAACTAACTCAAGCTGAAACTTTATTATTCCCTAATATTTTAAGTATTATTTTGTATCATCATTTATGTCAACTTCTAAATATTCATATTACAGATACCCAAAAGTAATATCAATCTGCAACTATCTTCCTTTTTTCAAAGTGACCTTTTTTATGTCTTGTTACATTTATTTTATAAAGTTTCAAGTGTGTCTTAACATACATGTACCAAATGGTTTATATTTAGACATAAACTATTTTTAAAGCATTTGGAGCTAAATTCTAGCTACAAATTCATCCTTTTCTCCCGAATGCAATTTAAGTGTGCCAGTTCGGCAAAATGGTTTTCTATTCGAAGCTTTTGCTTTGAAAAGCCATCTTTTAAAACTTTCATTCGCAGAAGAAGCTTCTGCTGTAGAAGCGAAAGCTTCAAAACCTCAACTGTTTCTCCGAATAATATAGAAAACTGAGATTTTAACTAATCGCTTCACTGAAATTTAGTGCGTTCCCACAACATTTAACATGATTAGATACTAACCCTTGTTATCGTTTTTCTTGTCCTTTTTCTTCTTATACACACAAAACACAGCCACTCCAACAATGATAGCAACCACAGCAACAGACACAACGACAGCAATGATGATCGTAACATAATCATCTGAAATCAAACGAGTCGACACTTCTTATTTATTTAGTTTGATTTACTTCGCTGATACCATATTGGCTCAATACTATTTCAGTGAATATAGACATACTTCTACAGACGTAGTTACTGCAACTAAGGGAGAGAGCTTATATATGAAAGTGCGCGTGCTTGACCGGAGGGATGGAATGGTGAGGGGAACGAGGAGTTCCCACCTCAAGTAAAAGTGAAGTGCGGATCATTGTTAAGCGGTATCTTTTACGCTTAAGTCATAAAGGTCTAGCTAAAAATATGAAAAGGCAGAGTATGTTAAGCCTTTCCGACGTCAGACTTTATCTACAGCGCTTCACAGTACTTTTCAAGGAGTTATAATAACTCCTCTTGTGTCGTTAATTTAACTCCTTACAGTGGAGTTATTTTTTTTGGGGGGAGAAGTTCTTTTAAATCCAAAAAGGGGTTTAAAGAACTCTTTTTCAGGAGTAAAAATCCCCCCAGATATTGAGGAGTTAAAAAAAAACCAAAAAGGAGTTATCCTGTACCTTAAATTTTTACTCCACTTTCAGAGTTAAAGTAACTCCAAAAAGAGTAAAAACAACTCATGCAAGGAGAAAAATTAACCCAATTTTCGGAGTTATTTTAACTCCATGCAGCCTTGGAGTTAAAAGAACTCTTTTTCAAGAGTAAAAATGACCCCAACTTTGGGGTTAAATTTGAAGTTAAAGTAACCCCATAAAAGGGGTTATCCTGTACCTACAATTTTTACTCCATTTTTGGAGTTATACTAACTCCCGAAAAATTACTGTGTTGACAGAGAACATAAAGAGGAGGCTATGTTGATCAAAAGAGAAAACAAAAATCAAAACAAACTGTGTGGTGAAGTTAACCCAGTTCATGAATATTTGATATTTCCAGACAGTTCCAGGAAATTGGTTGGTCATACAGTGTGGAAATTAAACATGAGCTTATTCCACATAGCCACCACCTTAGATGCAAGTGAAGAGGTAACAAGAGCCTCAGATGGCCAGAACAGTGTTTAGTTGAACATGTGGGCCATTCAAATATATAACTCAAGGTTAAATTATGTCAAACGAAAACACTTTTTGCTCAAAATCGTACCATCAGTTGGCGTTTGCGTAGTTTTAGTGAATGGGCGGGTTGTAACTGGAAATTCTGGTCGAGTTCCTTTGATGGATGAAGCGTCTACATTGAAATTTCCAAGTTTCCCATCCTTTGCGGCGTCCTTAAGTATAGTTAGTACCCGCTTTTCAGTAACAGTGGTATTAAAACTCAGGGTGAGATCGACAATCACACTTCCACATCTGTAAGAACAAAAGCAAGATTATTAAAGATTCAAGCAATCAACTGAGTTTGGGCTTCCTTCTACCGTTGGTCAATTCACAAGGAAAGTAGCAATTGTTTAGCCTGCCACTTTGACGACCTAATTTTCACGGCTATCTTTAAAACAAGGAACGGGGAATCGGGGAATGGGAATGGGGAACGGGGAATCTTTAAAACGTGGAATCTTTAAAAGCAGGAATCTTTAAAATGGGGAACCTTTAAGAGCGGGAATCTTTAAAATGGGGAATCTTTAAAAGCGGGAATCTTTAAAACGGGGAATCTTTAAAAGCTGGAATCTTTAAAATGGGGAATCTTTAAAAGCGGGAATCTTTAAAACGGGGAATCTTTAAAAGCGGGAATCTTTAAAATAGGGAATCTTTAAAAGCGAGAATCTTTAAAATGGGGAATCTTTAAAAACGGGAATCTTTAAAATGGGGAATCTTTAAAAGCAGGAGTCTTTAAAACGGGGAATCTTTAAAAGCAGGAATCTTTAAAATGGGGAATCTTTAAAACGGGGAATCTTTAAAAGCGGGAATCTTTAAATATTTAGAACAAAAGGACACTGTTTGTTAAGTTGGACTAATGTCAGCTTTATTAATCATTCGAAGCCAAATATTCCAGCTATTCACTTTTAGCACATTTTCTTGAATTCGAGAAAACCCATTTCATGAAGGAATTTTTCCCCGGGGAATTTTAAAACCACGACAACATGAAGGTAAGTGAATCACAAATTTGAAACAACGACGACATAAATATTATTTTAAATATCATCTATAACATGTAAAGAAGATAATAATATAACAATGAGGTACCGTAAGATATGTCTCGGGCGACCTTCAATAACAGCAACAGTAACAGTAACAACAGCAATATATGTTTTCCTTTTTCTACATTAAATTGTCCCAAAGATAAATCCAGTTTTAGGTTTTTAACCACTACTATCGAAAACCATATTTACACACATTGTGCTAACGGTCAACCGGAACAAGAAGAAGAGGAACACAACTGTAAAACAAAACATGACTGTAAACTATGTACTTTTGCGTGTGTTTCTGTCTAGGTTAATGTACAGCAGTGGATCCAGACCTTCAGATAAGGGGGGGAGGGAGGGGAGGCGGTCATCTAGACAAAAATTTGAACCCAAGGAAAATGAATTCTAACTCTAGTTAGCGCTTTGCTTCGAGTTAACTACGTTTTGATTACTTTCTTCCTTGACGTTGTAAGTTAAAATTACCATGACAACAGTACAACCACACGTTGTAAACAGGTAAAACGAAGCACGTAGTGGCTACAAATACACGAATACTCCCTCCAGAATGCTGCGCAAAAAATGAGAATTTCTCTGTAGAGCACTGTATAAAGTTGTCATCAAATATTAAATTCTCCTCAGTCTTCCGTTTACTGCATGCGACAACCGGGGGTCTGTTTGATTTTTATTATTTGAAAGGTAAACCGGATCGCAGGTTACAGATGAATGAACTACAAAATGTACTAGCTCAGCCGTGGTAACCACAGTCTTTTAAGAACGACCGCCAAGAAAAATTGAGCAAATTCTCGATTTTTTTGCAAAAGTTTGGCAAAAAGCTCTTTTATTTTAGAGAAGAACAAGAAATTCAGTTTGCAAGTTTAGAGGTAGAGTCAGATGGTTTCGGGGGAGGACTTCCGTATAAAAGGGAGGGGGATATTTATAATTTCTCGCTTCGGAGTGTAACTTGCAGATTAATTTTGGGACAGATCGCTCAGTCTTGAAGGAAGTATGTAGACGCTCGTCGGAAAATTAAAATTTTAAAAACCTCTAGAGGCCAGCGTGGGTCAGGATTTTAGAGCAGACACTAGTCCGAAATACTTTAAAAGACAAACTTAGAGGCTGTATTTTTGCTGCAGCTCAGCTAGTGATAAAAATTTGTTATGTTCATCTTTCAAATGTTTCACTTTCGTAACGCCTCGATCAAACCATTCACGATAGAAGACGGGACAGTTATCGATTCTAATGAGTGAGTTGTGCCATAAAGTTTGTTCAAGAAATTGTTTCTCGGACGTTATGTTTTCATCAAAATTGACTTCCGCCCAGATTGGAAGTATCTCTTTTATAAAGTTATTCTTAATCTTGAGATTCTCAATGGTATCTTTCTTGTTTAAGTTACTAGTGAGGACTATTGTGCCTCCAAATCGCTCTAACTCTATATCAAAAAAATATTTCCATTTTCCCTGGTTCTCTTCATCCAGATATTTTTTAATCCATGTAGCTTTCAGGGACTTGTTAAAAGACTGTATGTCTATCATTTTAAGTCCTCCATTAGCATAATCGTTTGGTATAATGTCTCGTTTGATTTTATCTCCTTTTCCATTCCAGAGGAATGAAAAAAATAACTTGCTTACTTCTTTGATAATTTTCACATTTGTATGTAAAGGTGAGAGCACATAAACGAGCTGAGAGGCAACCAGACTTTTTAGGACCGTTATCTTTCCAACTAGGGTAAGTCTACGGTATTTCCAGCAGCTCAAAACATTCCGGGCCTTATCTAGTTTTTCATTATAATTTAAAGTTGCAGTTGCTTCCGGATCGTTTGAAAACCAGACACCTAAAGCTTTAACTTTACACTTCGGCCATTTAAAGTTTCTTCCGAGAATTGATATTTCATCTTTGTTACAATTTGCCCCAATCCAAAAGGCTTCTGTTTTTTTGTCATTAAGTTTTAAGCCAGAGACTTCATAAAAATCGTCCAGTGTTTTGAGAGAGGCTATTAACGATTCCTTTGTTCCATCTAGCATAAGAGTTGTATCGTCCGCATACTGACTTAGTTTTATTTCTTTACCGTTTACAAAGATCCCTTTAATACTTTCATTTTCACGAATTGCCTTAGCTAAAACTTCTACTGCCAGAACAAACAGATAAGGTGAAAGGGGACAGCCTTGCCTTACACCTTTTTGGATTTCAAAAAAATCGCTCGCCCAACCATTATTCAAAACGCAGCTTTCTGGGCAGCAATAGAAAATGTTTAGCCATTTTAAGATGCTACTACCAAAACCAAAATGTTGAAAGGTTTTCCTAATGAAAGGCCATTCTATCGTGTCAAAAGCTTTTTCAAAATCTTAAAACAAAAGTAATCCTGGTATGTTGTTTTCTTTAGCGTAGCAAATAACGCTATCGATAAGGCGGATGTTTTCTCCGATAAAACGACCTCTTATAAAGCCAGTCTGGTCATAATTAATGAGATCAGGGAGGAGAGGTTTCAAGCGATTAGCAATTGATTTTGCCGCTATTTTATAGTCGCTGTTCAGGAGGGTTAGGGGTCTCCAATTCTTAATAAAGAACGGTTCTGCGTCTTTCTTAGGGATAAGTTTGATAATTCCTCTTCTCTGGGTTATTGAGAGTTTTCCAGTTTCATAAGCGTAGTTCAGTGCGCTAATTAGGGTGCTGGATACATCTTTCCAAAACACTTTGTAAAATTCGGCTGGTAGGCCGTCGGTCCCAGGGGTCTTTTCTGATTCCATATCTCTTAAAGCCTCAAGGCACTCTTTTTCAGTTAAAACTCCTTCGCACGAAGTTAATTCATATTCGTCAATGGCTCTTTCATCACCACCCTCAAAGAAAACAGTTGTATCATCTTGGTCGTATGTGTTACCTTTGGATGAGTAGAGATTTTTATAGAACGCCACACATTCAGTTAATATTTTTTTATCCGAGGTGACAAATTCGCTATCGTTTATTTTAATTTGACTTATTGTCCCTTGCTTGTAGTGTCGTTTTTCTAAATTAAGAAAATACTTGGTGTTTTTCTCTCCTTCATTATACCATTTAGTCTTAGATCTCAAAATTGCGCCTTTGGTGCGGATTTCAATTATCTTTTCAAGCTCAAGCCTGCTTTCATTCAATTGTTCCTCCAGGTGTAAGGAGTGCATTTCATCGGAGTTTTTATTATCGAGATCCGCTTCTAATCTGGCAATTGTTTGTTCCAGAAATGTTTCGCGTTGTTTAGCTTGCTTTGTTTTGCTCTTGGAGTAGCGGAGCGATTTTTCGCGCACTTTTAGCTTTATCATTTCCCAAAGAAGTGAAGGATTTACCGATTCGTCATTTTTGTACTCGAGTGTTTCCTGAAACGTTGTTTTAATTTGGTTTACGTAATCCAATTCAGTTAAAAAAGATGTGTTTAGTTTCCAGAAACCTGGTCCACGTAGATTTGAATGTAGTGATAAGCATAACGTAGTCATTGAGTGGTCGGTTTTATAACCTGGGACGATATCTGCGAGGGTCGTGATGTTAACTGTGCTTTGGCTTACTAGAAAAAAATCGAGCCTACAGTGTACTTTTGGATGACGTTGTCTCCAGGTAAATCTACTGGTGTCTGGGTGTAGAATCCTCCAGACGTCTACCAGATCTAGTTTCTCAGAGAATTCTTGAACAACTTTAACACTATTTTGGTGAGTTTTAGTAAGACCACCCATCTTGTCCGTCTCTAAATCCAGTACAAGGTTGTAGTCGCCTCCTATAATAATATCATCACATTTGAAATCTGCAAGGTGATCAAAGAAGTCAAGGAAGAAAGTTGGGTTGTCTTCATTAGGAGCATATATGTTCCCTAAAGTAAAACTCTTTTCATTGGTTTTAATGTCGCAAATAATGAAGCGTCCTTGGGGGTCAGTGTAAGTTTTTTCTATTTGAAAATCGAAGTTTTTGTGGAAAAGAATGCATACCCCTGCTTTATTGCTCTTATAAGTACTAAAAATAGCTTGATAGCCCCATTCAGCAGACCATACGTGATTAGTATTTTCTGTGCAGTGGACTTCTTGTAGCATATATGCCGAGTAATTTTTTTTTTAATTAAACACCTCTCTACGCTTTGTATTGTCTCTTAATCCCCTGACGTTTAGTGATGCTATTGTCAAAGCCATAGATATTCTCTTAGGCAGCTTTGCAGAGGAAGCCTTACATCACCTGGTGTCAAAGCACCACAATCGCTGCACGGTGTGATAGGAATTTGTACTAGGTGTTTACTTCTAAAACAAATGATTAAGCAATTAAAACATAGAAACCAAACAGAACATTCACAGATAAACACAACTAAATAAGAAACCTCTTCGTAAAGGGACATGGGGGAGGAAGCTAGGACTTTTACCTAGAATCTTACAGACAGATAAGAAAAACCGAAGCGCCATCAGTTACGAACCTCTATTCCGATCGCCTAAATAATTATCTAGCAATTGATAATAACGGGTGGCAAATGTGGTCAAACGATACTAACGTGATCTTGGTTACCTAATGAGTAATGACATGATGAAGAAGCACTCTCACCTATCCTGGTATCTTGAGAGGTTTACCAACTGACCAAATTTTACCTTTTATCAAGAGCTTATCCGGTTGTGCCCGACTAAAAGATGCAGGGATGTTATTTTTCCTAGCTTCTTTAAAAGTGTCCATTTGCTTTCTTCTGCTTGCTACTATTTCGTAGGGTAGATCTTGATACATTTTAAATCTGCTTCCTCGCAAACGGGAGCCCAAAGCTAGAATTTCTTCACAGTTCTTATAGCGGAGGAACCTTGCGATAATTTGCCTGGGCTTTTCTTCCTTCTTCTTTCCTAAGCGATGAACCCTCTGTATTTCAACGGTGCTTGCATCTTTGTATCCTAATTCCGTCTCGAGGAAGGTGCGAACAACTAATTCAGTGTCTTTTTTGTCTGTTTCTTGCACAATATTTTCAAAAATTATATTTTCCCGCCTCGAGTAGGCCTCTAAATCATCATTTTTCTTCTGCAAATCGGTTAGAGCGAGATCTGTTTTCTCCTGGTAAAATTTTAGGCTCGCTGTCGAATTCTGCTGTTGCTTCTCAGTTTTATTTAAGCTTTCTTTCAAGTTATCAATGTCGTGGCCGGCGGTTGTTTGCGAATATTCCAGCTTCTGTATTCTTCCTTCCAATTTTTGAAGGGACGTTTGGACATCATTTACTGTTGTTTGGATAGCGTCTAGCTTTTCCAGCTTTCGATTTATCTCCTCCAAAGTTTTATGAAAGCCTTCGGCCATGTTTAAAACCGTAAAGATTTCGTCTTCAACCTCGTGCTCCTCGACTTCTTCAGGAGAGTTTACTTCATCACTCCTCGCTTTTTTTGCTTCTGGTGAAGTGCTCGACTCCTCTGAAGAGGAACGCTCGTTTCTTTTCCGTTCCAAGATCTTTTTCAACAGTTCTTCCATTTACCACCCGGGAAAAAAAGAATATGTGGCGGACGGATCAAGGACACGTCTTACGCCATTGCTACCCAGGCCCCTTTCCAGTTTGCAAGTTTAGAGGTAGAGTCAGATGGTTTCGGGGGAGGACTTCCGTATAAAAGGGAGGGGGATATTTATAATTTCTCGCTTCGGAGTGTAACTTGCAGATTAATTTTGGGACAGATCGCTCAGTCTTGAAGGAAGTATGTAGACGCTCGTCGGAAAATTAAAATTTTAAAAACCTCTAGAGGCCAGCGTGGGTCAGGAGACCATGACAGACTATTATCAGACCTTTAATGATTATTATTGGCCGGGATATCATGCTTTTTTTTTAAAAAAAAATAATTGCATTTTAATTTGTGTAGGTAATAATATACACAAAAAACATGACTACAACAACAAATTTTGACAGCGCGCGCGTTTTTAGTTGATTCAACCGATTGGCTGAAACAGACCACTACCTTTGTCAAAATCACACTTTTTCAAGACCAACGCTTTCAAAATCATTCAGCTAAGATCTTGGAAATGTGCAAGGATTGCAGCCTGGTAGAGACAACTCGGTTTACAATAATCAGCAAAAGTAAGAGTTTTTAGAATCATCCTCGATTATCATCCGCAAGCATTAAGAAAGACGCGGCGTCTTTTAAATGCTAACCGACTCGTTGATGTTAAAATGAAATGTCATATACCTCCTTCGTCTTACAAATAGAAAAACGCTTTATTATTTTTAACTCCGCGACCAACGCAATGAAAACCAATCGAGCAAAGAGCGCGTCTTTTATATGTCTTTGAACTGCTTTGACCGGTTTACGAAACTGAAACGCAACGATGAAATAGAGGTAAGTGTTCCGCTCATTTCTTTTGGCATTTGACAAATATCTGTCTGGCCGTCGCACACAGTCAGATCTAATACACTTTACGCATTAAACCGTTTGATTGACAGCTACCGATTCTTTTACGAGAGTAGTCGGTATTTAGCTGGTTTTCCGAAAGCTTACTTATTCAGTTATTATTCCGCACATTGAGAAACTGCGCACTGTAAGTACATGTCGCAAAAGACAATAGCATTCTGGGCGATGTTACAAAAGATTCCCGCTTTTAAAGATTGCCCGCTTTAAAGATTCCCGCTTTTAAAGATTCCCCATTTTAAAGATTCCCGCTTTTAAAGATTCCCCATTTTAAAGATTCCCGCTTTTACAGTTCCCCATTTTAAAGATCCCTGCTTTTAAAGATTCCCCGTTCCCCATTCCCCATTCCCATTCCCCGATTCCCCTTTTTTAAAGATAGCCTAATTTTCACCACGTTATAGTACGTTCTTTTTTTGTAAAAATATTATGAAAATGTGTCCAAATGGCACCATGGTAATCAAAAATTGTAAAGATGAAAATACCAGGTTTGATTAACCCATTCGCCCCTGAACCGCCCGTAACCGCCCGTGCGGATCCACGTCCTTTCTACCCTTTGTGACGTCATCAGTTTTAACGGTCAAGGACAACTTTGTCCGCTAACTTGTGCAGAGTGAAGAGATCTTTCAAACCATACCAGAATGAGCACAATTCAGTCAAGGACACCGGAGAAAGAGGCAAAAAACCATGTAACATTGACCTGAAAATCTCCATGAAAATCTAATGTTCCAATGCCCACCTACCTTTCCTTTCACCTAATCCTAAGATCCTAAAAGCTTTCCTAAAAACTATTCCCACCAAAATGAAGCCTACTAAATGCCAGCAAGAGAAAAAAAAAGGAGGCAAGAAAAGCGAAAAAAGAGGGGAGGAGAGAAAGCGAAAAGTAAAAGTCAAGACTGCTGTGTCACTTTTAAACCCAAAAACTGTCGAAATTTTGCTTTCTGCGCATGCCCGAACTTCGCAAGCTGATATTTTGCATCTGGATCAGAAGGCCATGAAGTGTACAACCTGTAAACCGATTTGTGGTAAGTTTTAGCTCTTTATAGCACGACAGTGACCAGAAAACCACTCGACTAGCTTCAAAACGCGTTTTTCGGCAAAATCTCCAGGAGCGAATGGGTTAACAATGTGGACAAGACCTTGCCACTCTTTATGTGAAGTAACAGGGGCCACTTACGAGAAAGAAAATTTCTTCGGTAAAGAGCACGGTAAGAAACTTAGTTAACTGGCCGATGGGCAGAAACCTAGAGTTTACGCTACATGTAGCCTTAGTCCAGATAAACATTGGTACTTTAGATGTGGTTAGGAGTTCATTACCTGACTTTATTTACGGTTGCGCTGAGGTAGTCACTTCCATTAGTAAACACGCCCCTCATCTAGAAATTAACAGAAGTAAAATGTATTAAAATTATGGTCCAGTTTAGAAAGCCTGTGTAGCAATCATTTCAACGGGATATGTTGCATGCCGCGCGGAAAAGCTTGGTACACGGGCTAAACTAGGGGACTGTTTACTTCGAACTGAATATAATACAGGGGGCCACAAAATGTCAGGGGCACCCTGTTTCTCAGCGTTAAAATTACCTCCATACATGCAGTTAGAACTTTGTAGGGGCACCCTCCCTAGCAGGATCAAGTTTACATGATCTTAATTGTCCCTATCTTGAAGGGCTAAACTTTTGTTTGTAGCTTACGTCCTCTCTTACTGTGCTTGCTTGTCGGTTACTTCTGGATATTTTTCGATCTGACCCATCTTTAAAGTCCTGTACCGTTTCTTAGCCAGGTTTGCTTGATGCCTTTCTTTCGCCATTCGTTCGAGTTGAGATCTACTGAAATATCGTAGCTTGAGGAAAGGAGTTGAGAGTTCGAAGCCATTCAGGAATAATATGTTCCGACACTCTAAGAGAAATTTCGCATCTCCGCGCGGCCATGTAATATCCTCTAATTGTTTTAAGAAAATCACAGTCAACAATTCCCATTATTACATACATGTACACCGTCCCCAAATAGCAAAAATAAAATAAAATAAATAAATAAAAAAAATCAGTCTAGAGTAATAGGCTTGAACAAAACTTCATGCCTTAACTAAATAACTCTAGCAAAACAATGATAAATATGTATTTGGCAAATCCATTTTGCCACTACAGTTGTAACTTTACCGTAACAGAAAGTTCTTTAGACAATGAAGATTTATTGTATCGTCCGTCAGAGCAGTCTCCATCTTTGATAGTCAATGTAATGTTTATATCTTTGCCTGCAATGACTGTGGAACAAATCATTCATATATTAAGCAATCGAACATTTTGTAGTCCCATAAAATATCCATACATTCACCCCCCCCTCCTCCCGCCAAGGGCGACGGAAATTCCGAGGGAGGGGGATCCAAAGGAGGCATTTTCCGAGAGGATGGAGGTTGCTTACAGAGGTATTTTTCCAGGGGGTCTGAGTAAGATTGGTGCGTTTCTAATGAATAACTGCTCCTCTGTTGAGCAAGCTTTCAACGCTGCAGCCGTTAGATTCCGACCACGAGGAGGACAGTGATGTTGAAATAGAAGTTTAACTTTGTGTAAAAATCACAACTGAATGGACAAAATGAACATTTATATATTGAGATTTGTTACTGTTACCTAGTAAAAAAGCTACCATATGTAGTACGATATTTAGTACTGATAAAGTGATTTTTGAATAAACGCCGCCCCCGAATAGACGCCACCCTCGAATAAACGCCGCAGGTGGATCGCGAAAAATGAAATAAATGCCGCGGCGTCTATACGAGTAAATACGGGATGGAAATTCCAGCGGGTGAGGGGGGATGACAAGCACCCCCAGGAATGGAAATTCCAGGGGAAGGGGTGGGGGGTCTAAAGCAAAGTGCCCTTTGTGGGTGGTATGGATATTTTTTTGGAAGTACACATTAATGCTTTCCGTTTATTCACAACTTTTTACTTGCAAATAAGTAAACATATTTTGTCTAAAAAAAAAATGTAACAAAAAGTTATTGGGTGAAGCTGCGCCTACAGTTATAAGGATGCCAACACATTGTATACTTATAGACTACGAGTAGGCCCCATTTTTTCCTCAGGGATAGTAGAGCGAGCGAAACGCGAGAGGGCGTGAAACTCACCCCACGCGAGAAACGCGAGACGCGATGGGGACTGCTAGTAGTCTATTGTACACTGTACAATGATATTAAGTAGACTATGATCGATTTTCTCTCTCTTCGATGGAAACTATGATTTCAATTTACGGTTTCTCGATCATTATATCATACACATACAATGAATGTAGGTAAATGCAGGAAATACATGTAGTCCGTGGGCCAGCGAGTGAAACCCTCCCCCCCACCCCGGGGGAATTTTGCAGACATATACCGTTTGAAAGCTTAGGGCAAGGAGATTCCAAATCAGGTTGTTTGCAGTTGTTAAACTGCTGGACGTGACTGTACGGTGGCATTTTCTTTCTAGAGCGAAATACCACAGGGCACCCACGCTGTGAGTTTTAAGAAAAAATACATAAAAAATAAAGCAATGAATAAACCACCATGAAATTGTGTCACTTTACTTAACTCTCTCATCTATACAGAAATTTGCATCTTAGCACCATATATAGGCACTAAACGAGTGTACTGCGCATGTCACAAGGCATTACACTTAATAAGATTTGTATTAGTAGTGAATAAAAGTCAAAACAACTCAAAGGAAGCAGCTTTGTTTCGAAACTGCATATGTTGTTCCTCACCTTAGTTACCTTGATATAAATATTCGTTTGAATGGTTCGCCACTAGCAACAGAAGATGACTTTTATTAACTGAAATTCAGTAGATTTGGTATGTTCCTAGTCTGCCTCAAAAATAATGTCTAAGAGGTTGTCAAACTCCAGCTCGCCTTGATCTTCCTCGACCTCGACCTGCCGTGGTTGACTTGGGGCATCAACAACGATGTCCGCTAGTTCTTGCGGCATTAAGTCACCCTCAGTCCACACAATTTCTATAGTTGTGCCGTCAGTTAGGTCCCATCCATGCCCATCTGGCGAAGGGAGGCTGGGTGTCGCTTGATGGGCGTGACGCCAAATCAGAGCCTGATAGTTAGAACGCATGATATGCATCTGTAAGCTTCCTTAACATGGAGGTAAAAGGCTCATATCAATTCCATTGTAGCTTGACAAGACACCATTTTCAGACCTCGCACTTAGTCGCTCTTGAAATTTGTCGTGTCTTAAGGAATTGATCTTCTTCGATCCGCCTCCATACAGTATGCATGTAAATGCTTCCAGCTTTGAGAAGGCATCAACGGGAACTTTTGCAGACTGACCTAAATTCTGAAACACCGGAATGAATGAGGCGTGCTTCTGTAGGGCTTTCAAGGGCTTGATCTTTCCTTTCTTAACAAATGCGCTTGTGGTGTCACAGCCTGTAAAGCTGTCCAAGGCTGGTAGTGCTTGACACAAGCCCTCGCCAAGTTCACGTGCAATCTTCTTTATGTCAATAAGACGCCTCTTGTTTCCTACTCCAGCGTCGAACAGCAAAGTCTGGACCAGCCCCTGTGTATGACTGATCAGCAACACTAGCACATCTGTGTCAGGTGATCTTACTATGATGGTTGAGTTGCTTGAGGTATTCATTGCAGTATGATGACAGTGGAGAATAATCTTGGTATCGGCTTCTTCTTGTGTTAAGCACAGCTCTGATATTTCCTCTGACACTACTTGCTCTCCGTTTACACTCGAGAGACGCGTTGCCTTTCCCTCAGTGACAACTACTACTTGCCTTCCATGCAGTTTTGTAGCAAATTTATGCTTCTGCCACTCTTCAAGAAGAAACTCAGACAGGCGTTTCTTGTTCTCGGCATTGGAGAGAAACTTCTTCCAGTCTCGCGGTGCTTTGGTTGACGACACTTTGACGATATCTGGTGCAGACATTTCCCTGCGAGACCTTTCAACAACTTTAATAGACAAGGGTTGATACGAATCACTCACAAAGTCAACACGCTCTGCTTTTGGGAACTGCTCAAACACACTGTCTCCAAACGTGCCTGGAAGCGATACCATCGCCTGAAGGACAGCATTGCCATCTACGATGTAAGAGATCTCTCCCGTGGTTGGCCTTTGCACCTGATTCTTTCCCTCAAGATAATGAAGCAGCTTTGCCTTGTCTGTCTTCGCCGGCATGCCATCTGCGGTGGCTGGTGCCCAGGGCAAGGGTCCTAATGGATAACTTCGGACTCTTTTCATGTCGATGTCATGTTCAAAGGCAAGCATCACAAGTTGACCGGACACGTTTCTCTCAGCGGTTATTTGTTTTGTTTTCTTGGATTTGCCACTAACGTTCACAGATTTTACCAGACTGGAAAAAGTTGTCAGGTTTTGTTTCTTGATGGGTGAATGAAAGGCTATTTCTTGTTTAACGAGACGCTCTTGGACGAAATCAGTTTGTAACTTTACTCCCACCTCGTCTGCAGTTAAAAGCTCATGTGCGATATCATTTGTAGCTGGCGCACCTGAGGCAATACAGTAGAGTAAGTCTGGGTCTTCCACGACAAACGGGTTGACAAAATTTGTGAAAGCACTAATGACACTGGAAACGTCCTCTTCTGTTTTCAGGATCTGAGATGACCTTAGTTCCTTGTGTGTTGTACATTCCGAATTAGCCATTCCGACCATCTCCCTCGTTACTTGAAGAAAGGTTGCTCTGGTATGCCTGGTCTTGCACCACCTGTGGTACGCAGAGTGGTTTCTACTAAAGCCTATCATACCACCTTGTGACTATGCGTGGCGATTTATCGTCTGTTCGATTGTGATGTCAACAGCACTTCTGCTACCCCGGAACGCTGGATCGGTTGACACTGAAGCCATTATTTCATAGTAATTGCTTGGCCCCAGGATGCGATTCTTCAAGATTCATGAGCATAAGTAGGTAGACCGCAGTATAACAAGCGTAGTTAGGGTTATCAAATGCAAAGAAAATACTGCTCATTTGTTCAAGAGTGGCAATATGTAGCTCCAGGTTGTTCTCTTTCGTTACTCTAAGAAAACGCAACATCAGCCACACCTTTTCCATGTATCTCAGCCAAAACTGCGCTGTTTTCCCTAGCTTTCCATCAGAGGCTTCTTCTTTGAACTTGGCGTAGCGATTCAGAAATTCCACACAGCTCTCATTCGAGACAACATTTAAAAGATTCTCTTCAGAAGGATCAGCAGACAGACGACCAAAGGACTCTTTACTTTGCTCATCCAGTTCCCCTCCACATCGGCTTTCAAAGACCTCTAATACTTCAGTCGCCATGGTCTTATCGTCGAGAAGTATAGTGCAGCCCTGCGGGAGATGAGATTAGCAATCCAGGCTTGAATTGCACCATCGTATCCTTACATTACTTATTTATTGTATTGTGTTGTATTTCAGATATATCTCGGTACGTGTGCGCGTACAATTTTAATTTTATTTTGAGCGCGCGCATTATTTGTTTATTTATTTAATTGACGTGTACATTTAGTTCGTTTATTAACGTCTTAATTTTACTTTGCGTTATTTTCCTCACTTATACATTGTCCGTGACTGTGCTCACATGGTGGGTGGCTCCTCCTAAAATGTTCTGCAATTGGTATAGGATTTAATGGAGCCGAAACCAATTGTGGAATTGCACGCATTTTAGGCATCCTACTGATGAACAGTTGCGACACGCAGATATATATTTTTTAGCAACTAAGATAATTTGCAGTCTGCCTACTTTGAATTGTGTACTCTCAATGTTCTATTATAACGCTTTCCAGCCATCACTTGTTCGATAGAACCATTGGCGCAAATTCCAGATTTTACTAGAAACTCTTCAATCCCACTTCACCTCATCATCTTTCCAAGCATGCACATGAAAGGGGCACAGAAGGTGGAAACTGCCCAGTCAAACGATGACATTGCTAAACACTACAGGATTCTGCCATACTAATGAGTAAGCTTTCTTAGCTACTGCAAGATCAAATGTCACAACCGTGTACGGTTGGTGAACCTCCCTTGAGGCTTCTTGGGACACCTTAAGTAGATGCTGAACCGGGGAGTTCTCAGTAATTGGGGCGAAAATGGGTGACATATAGTCAACTGTAGATTGCTGAGATTTCCTTGTGGTTTCAGTCTTAGAAACCCATCCAGCCCACGGTGGGACCACTTGAGTACTTTGTCTTGATGTTAAAGCTCGACAGATAACCCATACAACATCAGATGATTTTGCCTGAGACTCAGCTTGCGTTTTTCCAACTGTTGTGTTCGTTACTCTTAGCTTCGGTTCTGCTTTTTCTTTCGCAAAACATGGCTCGTAATGTTCTGGAGTACACTGAATCGACCTTCGCTTTGTTTTTGGTACTTCATCTTGAACGTTTAAGACATCGGCTTCATTGTCTTGATCAATATCTGTAACCTCTTGAATAATGATGCCATGTGCGGTATGTGTGGTGCCTGCGCCTGAAGGCGTTTCTTCTTTCAAGTCAAAACTGTCTCAACAGAGGTGAGTAACTACATTCTTACCCGGGTAAATTGTCGACGGGATTGTACTTTCTCTGTCATCAATAGCTTTGCAGATAGCAGTCTCAAGCTCAAGCAACCTTGAGTAGGACGCACAGTGCCCCAACCGATTTAGCATTGAAATAATCTCTACGCTACGAGTTAGATGCCTAACTGAAATGCCTAGGAGCAGGTGCTTTGCCATCATCCATTGGCTATTTGTTGCTGCATTACAGACATCTTGTGCAATTGACAACACCAGCCGTTGCTTCTTTTCAGAATCTGTTCTGGAGCTGGAAGAAATCATCTGATTGATAAAATCTGTCAATAGCACTGGGGGACGAATTGGTCCATCTACAAGGAAACTCGTAGTAGGGGTCATGGCATTTCTCCTGATGATTTATAACACCTCTGGATTTCTTTTCGCAAAATAAGAGCTGTTTCTTCTAGTCTTTTTGCTTCAGATGCAGCAGTCTCAAATGCTGCCTCAACAGCTTGACCCTTCTGTATACCAGACGAATAAACCAGCTGACTTTTGTAATTTGGCTGCCAAAACTGTAATGACGAGCCAAAACGATTCTTAATTTTATCTTTAAGTTTGTCAGTTTTGTATTCAGGGTTATAGAATTCAGGATTATTGTCTTGGATGTGCTGTAAATAACGTTCTCTTAACGTAGACATTCGTACAACATTTAGTCCAGAGATGATACTTTCACCAACAAAATCGCAAACATGACCAAAAGCTGCCTGATGGGCGGCCTCTATCTCTGACTGATTGCCTCTATCTGTACCTGATCGCTGTTTCGATGGGCGTGTGTATTCTTGTCGACAGGAGTAATGATAATGCGCCTCTTTTGCTACTAGATCGACTCCTCGTACCTTAAGTAAAATCGTTTCGTCTTGTTTGCTTTCTGCAGCTGCTTTGATTGACTCTTCTGACGTCTTAGTTACGCATTTTACCAGCGTTTTTTCTTCTCGATTCTTAGTTAATCTGTTTTTGTCACAAAAGAGGCATCTATCTGAAGGCAATAAAGGAGAGGGAGTAGACAGTGTTTCTTCAGTTCTGCGCCTTTTCGCAACTTTCAGTCCTGTGAGGTGTTCACTAGATACCTTTTTTCTCTTAAAAAGCCGCGAAACATTTGTAAAGCGCTGATAACACTGCCTATGGTAACCATATCTCAGAGCATGGAGCTCGCTAGGTAAATTAGAGCAAATCTCATCCTCCCTGTCTCCTGGGTTTTCCTGGCATTGTCTAATTCGAGCACTTTCCTGGATTGTCTGAAAACTCTTCTCTGAAAGAACAGTTGCCTTGGTTAATGCTCCATAACTAGGGTGGTGGACTGTGCATTGAAATTCAGTCCTGTCTGCGATTTTTTCCTTTTAAGTTCTAGTGGTTTTTCAGCCATATTCACCATTAACCAAGATAATGACGATAGCTACAACTGAAAAGCAATTTTTGTACATTTGTTATCAAGCTGAAAACTTGACGCAACACGTAATACTTTCAAAAGGGAAATAGGTTGCTTTGATTGTTTATAAATAACAATTTTAGGCATTAAATCTTACGGCATAAAATAACAAAAATAGATATAGGTTGTTAATAGAATAAATTAAGTTCATTTTAGGAAAAATATTAAAAAGCGAACAATTAAATTCATGAATTTTATCTTAAAGGAAATAAAGTAATTACGTTAAACTTTAACATAAAAAGTAAAAGAAAAGTCTCAAGTCTGCTTTATCACAAACTGATCGCCTACAGAACAATTGTGGTTGGATAACACTGACGAAACATTAACTAAGCAAGAATTTAAAATTAAAATACCTTCTTTAAGCTTAGGTAGTTTATCTCACAGGTTTTTAACCTAAAGGGGGCGTTCTGGTGTGAAAAAATTAACTAGGAACTCACCTTCAACATCAGAATCGGGTTCTCCAAAATTTCAAAATGGCGGATATGAAGACATGGCGCGGCAAAGAATCATGGGATGCGCGCGGGAAACAAATCAAATTATGGGTAACACTGACTTTTTTCCTCATACAATACAGTAAAAATATCATTTATTAAATAATAACGCAGAGGAAAAGAAAGTAGGATAAACCAACTTATCGCATAAACAAAACAACATTTGGTTTTGTCCTATTAAAAACTTATGACATGCTCAGTACACTCGTTTAGTGCTTATATATGGTGCTACGATGCAAATTTCAGTACAGCTGACAGAGTTAAGTGACACAATTACACGGTGTTTTATTCATTGCTTTATTTTTCATGTATTTTTTCTTAAAAATTATAGCGTGGGTACCCTGTGGTATTTCGCTCTAGGAAGAAAATGCCACCGTACAGTCACGTCCAGCAGTTGAACAACAACAAACAACCTGATTTGTAATCTCCTTGCCCTAAGCTTTCAAACGGTATATGTCTACAAATTCCCCCGGGGCGGGGGGAGGGTTTCACTCGCTGGCCCACAGAAATCCCTCAATGTGACTTCCTTTTTTTTAATAAAGCACTACACGGATATTTATCCGGATTTTTGAAAACCGGGTTAGCAAGACATTCAACTCATTCTACTACTAGAAAAATTAAAGACAATGGAAAAGACCGATTTAAAAGCCTTCATCTGACGCCGGGCAGATGGTAGTCCCTATTGCTGGTTTTCAGTGTCACGCCATTCAAAGTAGATCAAAATAAATACCAAAACCATTCGACAGATAAAGTCCAGAATCTGGAAAATGAAAGGAGGTAAATATACAAAGACCCTCGCCAAGAATTGGGTCGAAGGAATAATTCGTATACGAGATATCCGAGGAAATGTTTTACCCAAATTTATAGAGCATTGTATGGAGACGCCATGCTGGAGCTTATCCGGATGAGCTCCAACATGGCGGACGGAAACCAACAGAAACATCTGTTACCGAGTTTTGCTACAAAAACTTGAATTTACTCCTATAGGAACTCGTAAACATGAAAGTAATACTTTTTCTAATCGTTGAACTGTTTAGACAGCAAAATTCCTCGAAAAAAGTCACTTTTTTAACCTAAATGACAGCGCTCTCGGCCGTCATGTAAATGCTGCGTCACGCAAAAGCTTAGAAATTCAAGCGTACTCTATTACAAAACCAAGAACCCTTTTGAAGCGAAAATTTGTTTGAAAATTAGTTTTCAGCTGCTCTAGTGCACCATGAAAGTAAAATCTCGGTAGGATCGATAGCTTTGAAGTTTGAATTTTAGTGACGTCATGTGAAAACCAACAATAGTAGCATTTCACTGGGTTCAAATTTAAAGTGCCGCAAATTTTACAACATTTATTCAGTAATCTGACTCCATGGAAATTCAAACCGGTGTCATTTCGGTCTAGAAATTTTTAATTGAGTGAAATAGAGTCAAAAAGTGCCTGAGTGGTTAAGGCTTACATAACAAGTTAAATAGCTACGGCCTTAGTCATAACTGTTCGGACACTTTGCTGTCTTCTTGCCCTGTCAATGATGGTGTGCAAGATTTGGTGAGTTAACTGCGACAACCAACTTTGGGAGGACGAGAAGCAGGACCAGAACTGAAAAAACAGCGTTGGATGGAAGTGCCCCAATTATTTTTGTCCGAGACTGTGTTGGAGAAGGAATTTAAGGAATTTGAAGTAATATATGAAGCATGAGACGCAGTGTTTCAACAACAGATGAAACACTGAGAAAAGAGTTGTAAATACGACGCGCAGTGGACTATTTTTGACGAACTTCGACGTGTTTCATACGGTGACGAAATACTGTGTCGAATGCTTGATATTACTTCTCAAACAAAATGATTTTCGAAGGAGAAATTAGGGATGCAAAAATAAGCAGCTTTTCATCTAACTTTAATTTCCTTTGTATTTTCTTCATGAATTATTGATGAGTTTGAAAAGAACTCTTGACAGATACCGAGGCCAAGTTGTAATTCGGTCAAAGAATCCGTTGTAGTGTGTTGGAATGTCTATAGTGATTTTGCAAACCTTTCTGGAGCAGTGAACTGAGTTATTTTCATATTTCTGCCTTGATATATAATACTGAAAGGCAACCGTAACACTGAGAATTCCCAGTTGGCGAAAACATTTTTTTGGAGCGTAGTATTGGAAAATAAAAAGAACTGAGTGTACAGCATGGCTTTCAAGTGTGGGACTGATAGCGTGACAAGAGCAAGTGCTTATTTTTCAGAAAAATTCATGGCTTTGCTATATTAAGAGTCGCTCAAACGTGCCACATTTCCAGCTGAAACGTGTGGTGGTCAAGAACCTTAAGACAGCTTTAAAGAGCAATAAGGCGATTCGAGAGAAAGAAGCCAAATTTTTTCCTTAACGAATAATGCAAGGGTCAGGATGACGGCTTCAAGGCGTATCAATGAAAACAGTATCCGGATTTCTGAACTGATTTCTAAGGACACTGTTAAACGATTAAGTGCAAGTCAAAAAGCGCCTATGGCCAAAATTGTTGTCACACTTTGCTGTCTTCTTGCCCTCCCAATGTTGGTGTGCAAGACTGGCTGAGGTTACTACGATAACCAACATTGGGAGGACGAGGAGATGTCTGCGACTGTAGCAAAACACTACTACTTTCGCATGGAAAAGTACACATGGATGCACACATGGATTTCGCATGGAAAAGTACACATGTTATGGCCTTCAGATCTGCAAAAACCGGCAAATGAGGTCAAAGAAGGCCCTCAACGAACAAAGTTAATTACAAAAACTACAAAAATTGCAAAATAAAAATTACAGAATTTTGCAAGGCCATTAACGAAAATGACCAGGAAATGCAAATTAAGTAAAGGAAGGCCCTCGGCGAAACAGCGAAAATTACGAAAACTAAAAAAATTGCGAAAATAACCAAATTTTGCTGGGCCATTGACGAAAAGTGACGAGGAAATGTAATTGACATTAGTACGAAGTAGTCAAAAATTGGTTAGCCGGGTTTGTGTGCAACACGTATATTGTAAGGCTGTAGTGTACATGGGAGTCGCTCTCGTACAACAAGGCCAGAGCTGACGTTGGTCTACGTGTTGGAACCAGTAATACTATGAGTGTTCCGTCTAACAAAGTCCCTGTTGTAGTTGTTTTTACTAAAAACGTTGTTTAGTAAGCCAGTCTCGTCTTGTAGGATGTCAGGCGAGTGGGAAACTAGTTGCGCTCGTCTCGTCAAAGTCCGTATAGTTGTAGCCTTGTGAGAGGTCGGGTTGTACGATGACTGGTCGAGTAATCGGTCGATATGTGTCGATTTTCTGTAACTTGTCGTTCGTAATCTGTTGTCGTCGAGAGTGACCAAACAGTCTAGAAACTGTACTTTACCATTTTCCTCGATCTCCTTGGTAAACTGTATGTCCGCGTTCTGTCTGTTAAGGTGTTCGTGAAAAACGTCGATTTCGTCTTTGTGTACAGCGGAGAATGTGCCGTCAACGTAGCGTATCCAGAGAGGTATAGTTCTGGTATAAGTGGCTAGGGCTTGTTCCTCGATTTTTTGCATAACAATTTCTGCTTCAACAACTGAAACTGGAGAGCCCATAGCTGCACCGTGTAACTGTTTTTAGTGTTTGTCGTTGTACTGAAAGTTAAGTCGAAGTCAAACAGAGGTTGAGTAGGCCCAAAACGTCGTCTGTAGGTAGTAGTAGTTCAACAGTAGAGTTCTCAGTAATAATAATAATAATAATAATAATAATAACAATCCCAGATGATGACAGGGTGAAAGATAAGGAACTTGAGAAGTTACAGAAATACCAACTATTGAAAGAAGAAATTGCAGAAGTCTGGCGCATGCGAAAAGTCATTGTAGTGCCTGTTGTTATTGGGGCCCTTGGAGCCGTGTCAGTCAACTTTAAGGAGTACATGAAGCGAATCGGCGTAAACGTGAGGTTGGAAGTTATCCAGAAAACAGCATTGTTGGGGACAGCAAAGATACTAAGGAAAGTCCCTGTAACAAGAAGGAAAAGAGAGACCTGGGACCCGTGGTGACATGTTGTAACCCGCTCCCAAGGACTATAACCCATAATAATAATATTATTATTATTATAAAAGTAAATTATAATTATCAAAAAAGTTATCCCAGAATCCTTTGGGGCAATTTTTTTTATAAGCGCTTTATAACTTTGACAATTTTATACGTAGAAGAATGTCAGACCACAACAAGATAACATTTGCCATAAAATATCTTCCCATGTCACATCTAGGGTAACGACATCATCTCTAACGTGACTTTTTCAGAATTAGGTTTTTTTGTTGCTGTGACGTTATTGGGTTAAAAACAAATAGCATATTCGAGGTTTTGGTTGGGTGGAGCATCTAAAAATAACTAGTTTACGTCCGGCATTTAAAATTTAAGAGGGTAATGAACATGAGCGAAAAAGTCGGGAGACTAGGCCGAGGGCTGTAGAGGGTCGAAGTTTCATCACACGGCAGAGAAAATTTGCAGGAAAGTGATGTTCCACCTGATAATTGTTTTCATTACCAAATGAGAGACATGACGTAATCAGTCACGTGATCAGAGCGTTTTGAATATTTTAGTTCGCTTTTAAAGTACATTTGTCGCCATAAATTGGCAAGTTTTTGTTGTTTTTCTCTACAAATCTTTACCGGCACTGTATTACCCCTGAGTAATTATTAACGGGGCTCTCGCGCGCGAAGCGTGCGCAGCGGAGCACCATGGGTAAGAAAATTTGGTAAACTATGCATCCAGGAAATTTTGGTTCTGAGAAAATCGTCCGTACGTACGTCTACCCCTTCATGTAAGCCGGGGAGAAATTTTGCATTTCAAGTACCCGCGCGTTTCGGCAGTAAATCGCATAGCTGACCGGACTTTCAGAGAGAAAAAACAATAACAACGACGCCGATTCTTTCTTTCGACTTACTTTTAAAGTCTTCATTGGCGTGGATAACAGAGAAAGAGCTAGAGCCAGAGATAAAAAAACAAAGGAGACCAATTTCGTTTGAAGAATAATATGAAAGTTTATAGCGGCTGTAAGAAAATGAGAAAAGCTAGCGGCCACCAAGCTAAAAATGAGCGGCGCGCAGCGAAAAAAAGGGAACAGGACCACATACAACACTTCCTCCATAAAACGTGTAACTAGGAAGTTTCACGCTGTCGTCGTGCAAAATAACGGCAAAGAAATGTACAAAAGAAGTGTGCTGCACGTGCAACGTTGTTTTTTTTTTTTTGGCTAATTAAAACCTTTTTTTTTTCGCTGTTTTCGTTGCGGTCGCCGCTTGGTTAGCATTACACGATTTTATATTTTCTTTCAGTTAACTATAGATATTAACGAGAGTTTCGCTTCTAGCCCTGGCTAAATCTATATATTATTCCATTTTCAAAGCAGAAGCAAACAAAAACTGAACCAGAAGTTTATAAGTTGCGTAAATTGACCGATATTGCAAATTAAAATCGAATCAACTGCCGTATTCATGATCTGAACTTTAATCGACTAAAATAGGTGTTCGGCCCTGATTAGAAATTTCACGTTTAAAAGGGGCCTAACATGACATAAGTTTCAGCTTAGTGGTTTACAGGCTTTTATAGACCTTGTCACGGTTTTCGACGCCATGTTGACGAGTAGGCAAACTGGCGTGAGAAATTACAGTGTTTGTATGAGAATCTAATGTCGAATAATTTCCATAAAACGGCTGTTGTGAAAAAAAAATAATTGTCAACTAAAGCTTAACTCCTAAGGATTCTACTGAAAAATATTGATGGCGTTACAAGCGCTAGAAGACCTAGAACCACTTTTTTAAATTGTCTATACATTTGTCTGTAAGAAAGTCGCGGGAAAAATACAGACAAATATATGGAAAATCTAAAGCAAGCCTCTGGAGAAATTTAAGCACAGGTACGGCCCAAAAATGTTTTGGTACAATCCTAATCTTTGAAACTTTAGCTTACAACTCATATTTTTTTTTTCAGAACAGCCGTTTTACGGAAATTGTTCCACATTAGATTCTCATACAAACACTGTAATTTCTCACGCGGTTGTCTACTCGTCAAGATGGAGTCGAAAACCGTGACAAGGTCTATTAAGTTGTTGTTTTCTTTTCAGTAAGAGCAATTCGTATCCCTCTTTGTAAATCCATTTTATTAATCGGCTTGTGCCGCGACTTAAGAATCAGCTGTAATAGTTGCTTTTGCTTTATCTTTGACACGATTTGTATATCAAAAAGAGCGACCAATTTTCATCCATCCATTTCAATAAAAGCAAATAGAATCACTTCTCACTACAGCGGACAACCTCGAAGCGTGACTTCGTCGTATAAATATGCGGCACCGAAGAAAGACGAAAAAGCTAATCCTTGTATATACAGCTATTTCGAGAAAGGTTGTCGGATAAAGTGCACGTGACAACCCCGAAAGTTATTGTGGGTGGTTTTGAGTTCATTGTTTTTCAAAGAAATTTGAAAGAATGGCAGGAGAGGTCATGGACATATGTCTGCCAGTGCTAAAGGAAAGCAACAAAAGTAGGTTCGACAGCAACAGTGTCAAGAACAGTGTGTTGAACATATCCCATATTACCCCTCGGGATTGTCGCGTGCCCATTTTTTCTGACAACCTTTCTCGAAATAGCTGTATCCGATGGTGTCCGCCATGATGTCATATAGTAGTTTGACGTCACGGCGCATTTTTTGTTTCTGGGCAACATTCGACTGAAAGCGGTTTCTAATCAATGACCTAAGTATGAAGAGCTGACTTGTTTATCCATCGTCTGCGAAACAATGTTTACTATCGGTGAATCTCATGCGATTTCTCATGCAAATGGAACAGAACAGTAAATACAAGAACGCCGAATTCAACAACCGTCTGTACATCCTCGCAGGGGAAGATTTGACACCGAAACTGAATTCTCTGGAGCGCGAACGCCGACTTGAAATTCAACGCGAGCAACGAAGGAGACGGCAGCAACAAACAGCGGAGCAGAGAGAACATCACTCAATGAATTTCGAATGCTAAAGTACTTTCAAGAGCAAATGGAAGCGATTTTGGATAATTAGCCTTAATATATGAGAGAAAATCGCGGTAACAAAACACATTTTGCTCGCAGACGAGTTTATACCGTATCGCGGCTTAGTTGGCCGTTCTTTAAATGTGATGAAATATGTTTACGTTGGGTTTTTACCGTCCAAACAGCAGTCATTCTTCTGAAAAATATCTTTGAATTCACGCTGAACAGGGTTCGATCAACTTTAGTACAAGTCGCGCTGGCAGAAGTTCTAGGGAAAAGGGTTTTAATACTATATTTTCAACACGTTACGCGGTGGGTTCCACGTGGCTCATTGGTAACGATTTAGCCCGACGCGTCAAAGGTCCCGAGTTCGATTTCGGGCGAAACCTTTTTCTCTTCTTCTTTTCTTCTTTTTCTTTTCCTTTAGTTTTCTTTTTAGTTATTGCAGTTTTGTTTTGCTTCTTTATATAGCTTAAAATTTTTAGATTTCCAAATTTTCCTCTCTATTGCCTTATCTCTCCGTTCCCCCGAGGTCCTTCGCGAGGTCCTGCGATTTACGTATTTCTAGTAATAGAAGGATGTACTGAGGCCCTGATATGTAGCACCCAGGGACAAGCCCTGAGAAAAAATTGGCCCTCTGCAGCTTGCCATTCACGTGGTACAAAAGTCGCACTGGGACAAGACAAACAAAGGACAATAACATTTAAAATTATGTATGCCTTTTGTTGGTCTTGCCCCAGTGCGACTTTTGCGTCCCAGCATGGCGGTTTTGTACCACGTGAATGGCAAGCTGCAAAGGGCCCATTATACGAGATTTCATATTGATCACACAGCAGAATCCCCTTTGTGCACAATGTGCAGAAGTAAGGGAGAAACGGTGGCCCATGTGGCGAGTGAGTGCGGTAAGCTGGCGCAGACATAATATAAAGGAAGGCATGATAACGGTATATCCACTGGCAACTTTGTGGTAAATGTGGATTGGAAAGAGCTAATAGCTGGTATGAACAGAAGCCGGAGGGAGTGGTGGAAAGTGAAACTTCAAGATACTGTGGGATTTCACAGTCCAGTGCGTTCGGAAAATTGAGGCAAGAAGACCAGACATTGTCTTTATTGATAAGAGGGAGAGAGAGAGGTTGTCATTATTGATGTTGGTATCCCAAGCGATGACAAGGGGAAAGATAAGGAACTTAAGAAGTTAGAGAAATACCAACTATTGAAAGATAAAATTGCAAAAGTCTGGCGCGTGCGAAAAGTCATTGTAGTGCCTGTTGTTATTGGGGCCCTTGGAGCCGTGTCAGTAAACTTTAAGGAGTACATGAAGCGAATCGGCGTGAAGCTGAGGTTGGAAGTTGTCCAGAAAACAGCATTGTTGGGGACAGCAAAGATACTAAGGAAAGTACTGTCCCTGTAAAAAGAAGGAAAATAGAGACCTGGGATCCGTGGTGACTTGTTGTAACCAGCTCTCAAGGACTATAAACCAGGCCGAACATCCTGCCTGAGTCTACAAGGAATGGACATAATAATAATAACAAGAAGACGCCCGAAGGCGTTTACGCGGGATGCGTTGGTGTAAGAAACAATTACCGGTATGTTGAATGGCAATGGAACAGTTGAGTAGTGTATCAACAACAAATGTACGTGTGCAGGAGAGACGGAGATGTTCTGTTGAGGACTAACACACTATAGAAGATGAGTTACACACAAGGGTTCCTTTGTTACGCAAAACAAAAGTTACATCAATATTACCACCATATATGTTAAGAGTATGGGGTAGTTCACTTAAATTTGCATTCCATTTACTAATTTCCTCAAAAAATGCACTTCCACATTCAACAATAGCATGTAATGTATCATTACTTCCAATAACTAAAGGGCTGCAAGGCTGCACTCTAGGGAAAATTTCAGGGAGCCCTTTGGGCTTTCAAGCAATTTAACCTAAAAGATCTAGATGGCCGCCCAAATAAAATTTTCAGGGAGCCCTTCGGTCTCCTAAACATTTTAGCTGGGGTGCCCGGGCCTCCAAGTTGTTAGCCCAAATTAATAAATCAGTGAGCTGTTGGTTAATTATTAAAAATTAAACAAATTATTTTCCGAACAAGCCAAGCAGAATTTTGTGAATATTTTTTTTCATGAAAAATCACATCCTTTGACCTCCTGAGCGTCCGAAAAGAAACCCGCATGTGTCATATGAAAGTACGTTTTCGCGCCATATGAGAAACATGGGCAACGCCGCCGAATATTTCATGTTTGTGAAATGGAAAAGTAAGATTCTGGTCTGTTTATGTATTTTTTACAAAAATTTCTGGGTCAAAAATAAGGGCACTATTCTTTTTACTAATCGTTTTTATTTAGGTTGAAAAGAAAATTCGCTTAAGATTGACTGAGATCCCGTGGGCCGTGGAGCTTTCCGGAAAAACTGCTATGATTTCAACGAAACCGCGGCCGCCCCAGAACTATTATCTCTTTTGAATAGATCATCGTCTTGTTGGAAAGTCGTCGTTTAAGCGAAGACGGGAAGTATTTTCTTTCTATATTATCGGTGAAATGTTTAGGAAAAATAGGCTTTTTGTGGATTCGGTAGCTAACTAGCTCTACTTTGCTCGCTAAATTTAGCTTTTGCGTATTTATTTTCAGTACGTGCGACAATGCGGGACTTTATAGATTTACACCCGATTCTAAAACAACCACAATAATAGTCGTCTCGTTTCTTTTTTATACACCGTATTTTACTGGAATAACAATCTTAAGTTATGTTTTAGCCTCGCAGACACAGCAGTAAAAAACAGGTAAAAATACTTAATTAACATAAAAGAGTGACTCCCGTGTTTATTCAGCGATTTTTTAAAATACAAAACTATTGTTTTGCGTCGCCGACCGTTCTTTACGCCTATCAGAGCAAAAGTAACAATTGCCTTTGAAAAACTAACTAATATAAGGAACCATTCTAATTTGAAGAAAAAATTTCAATGTTATTTTGAACAGCTGTTAAAAACGAAAGCTGTACAGCTTGTCACGTTAATAGTCAGGGATTGTGTTACATGTGAACATCAATGCGTGCCTGCTGCCCGATTTAACAACATTTTCTTAAAGCTTTTTGATAGACATGCTACATATATTGCTACATACAAGTCGACCTCAAGAGTTTCTTAGCCAGCGGAGCGTTCTTTTTGGGCCGCGAAGCGACCGAGCGAGCTACGACTTCGTAAGTAATAAATTCTAAACATTCTAGCTTTTTGACTGTAAATCAAGAAACCAGTAAGCTCACTTTTCCCTTCTTTGCTGACGCAGTATCTTTATTCTGCTTGTGCAATCCAACCTTACTTGCCCGTGATTCGAAGTTGCAGCCAATAAAATAGACACAATTTTTTCGGTACGGGCTCGGGATACGGGAAAGTTAAAAAAACAAGGCAATTTTTGACTCCCAAGAATACGAAAGGAATGCGCTCCCGATTTTAAGACGCTCGCTGACTACGTCATCCCGCGTAATAATGGCTTTTTTCAGCATTTTCACTAGGTGGCTCTTCATCTGCTAAAAAATAGCATTTGTAAAGTAAAAATGTAAAAGAGGTAAGATAAGTAAGCATATAAAATATGTAAAAATAAAAACCTATTTACAATGAGAAATAAAATTTCATTAACCTAAAAGGCTATCTTTGACCTTTTTCATTAAATACCTAAAAGTCATCTTACAGAACTGGTTAAACTTAAGACAGTTCCCTATATATTCGGGTGAAATATTAAAGCTTTTAGCGGCTTGATCTTGATAAATGTGTGATACTAGTGGCATTTCAAGCTGCATAGCTCAACTAGACCTAAGAGTTCAATTGTACTTAAATTGCTTCAGTCGCAAGTAACCTAGCCATTCGTGAGAAGAAATCGCCTTGTGAACTGACTTTAGGAGCTGCCATTCAATATGTTCTTTAGAGGGTAACCAGTTAAGCTTTGATACCCCCCTCTTTTACCTAGTTTGCCGACAACAAAGCACGCACATGCTGTTTGAATTCTTTGGAGGCGTTTGACAATGTGATGTGGTAAATTATGATAAACAACACAATTATAATACAACTTGGAGAGTACTAGGGCCTGACCTAACTGCTCGCGAATATTGAATGGGAGAAAATTCCTCAATTTCTTTAGGATTGCAAGAATGCGATAGCAAGAGGCTGAGACTTGCTTGACATTTTCTTCCCATTTAAGGTGGTGATCAATGTGGGTCCCTAATAGTTTTGTTGAGGGTATACGTTCTAAAGATGTGCTTCCAACTCTCAGGTCAATATCAGTGTTGTTAAGTTCATGATAGGAAGAAAGTTTACCGGAAGATAATAACACGTACTTTGTTTTGTTAGGTTTTAGGACCAGGTTTGATTCGCTTGCCCAGCATTGCAGTTTGCTGTAATAGCGTTCTCAGTACAGTCTAGAGCCAGTTGAAGTGGCGGGAATATTGGTGAACAAAGATTTCACAGCAAAATACACTAGTCTTTGGTCGTCAGGTATCTGTATTGTCTTAATGGCGTCAACAAAGTTCTAAGTAGACTGTAGTTTATGTCCAGATTCGTCAGTCAGAGTTTTCAGGACGTCAGTTAAGTATTTAGACAGTTGGTAATTCGGGGTCCCACAGAAAGAAACTATGGGCTGCATAGGTATGATGGGTTTGTGTAGCTTCGGTAGTCCATACAGCTTGGGTAGCGACGGAACAATACACCTCAGTCTGTTGTAGCGTCGAAAGTCCATCTTGTCGGTTTTCTTCAGTGTAAGTAGTTTGTTGTTAAGTTTGCGTCGCAGTGTTGGTGGTGGATCTCGTTTAGCATGCGACTGGCCGAACACAAACGAGCGGCGAGAAATGGTGACGTCAACAATAACAGAGCTGAGCACCATTTACAGACGAAACGGCGACATGTATGTATTACGTATTCTACAGACTATACTATCAGCGGCTCACTTTAGAAAGCAGGTTACTAACTTTGAACATACGCCACTGAATAATTATAGTAGTCAACAGTTACCGGCACCGTACAAACGACTAACTGACGGAATCGAGCAAAACTAACTACGAGAGAACGACTGGACCACTGACTAACAGTAAACTGTTTAACTGTGACAATAGACAGATCGAAACGTACCAATGACATTACGAGTCTTCATAGCCAATAACATCACGGCTTAACAGACAAACGACAAATAACATCGCGACTTAACTGACCAATCAGGTCAATAACCAGAGTATAATACCATCAACTGACGTGATACAACTCACGTTGTCGAAACATCAGCCACTGTCAACAACAACGGTCCTATTCGGGACTACGTTCGACCGGACGATCATACTCAACCTACTTATGAAATAGTTTTCTAACTGTTCAATTTCCTGCCTACTACATAATGCATATACACAGCAGGTAATATGAAATTTACCTGTCTTTATCTGATTCCTTAAGTGCCGTAAAAATCCAAGGCAAATCTATACGCAAATTTACACTAACCCTGTCGCGTGTCATTACAGTAGCATTAGGGCGTAAAATATGGAGCTAATCAAAATTTAGCTGTGGAGAAGCAACTTACCAACGCTGGTTTCTGCTGAATCCCTGCCCTCACTATTTGCCGCTGTACAAGTATAGATAGTATCATTCAACACCTCAAGGATAGTCCAGGATCCAGTATTGCAGTCGTTACTGCACGGACTCCATGTAAATGTTGGCTCAGGATACCCTTCGGCTTGACAGCGAACAGTAACACTCTGCTGCACCGCAACTTTGTATTCTCGTACAAAATTAACAATCTTTGGAGGAACTAAAATAAAAGCCACAAAAACATCAATTTAACTGTTCATCCTAGCCAACTTTAAAACTCAGAGAGCCCTGAAAGAAGGTGATTTTACTCACGCGCCATTTTGACCCATATACGGAGAAAGAAAATAGAAGTCACACAGCATAATGACAAATTCTTGACTGACAATCAAGCAGGAGCAGGAGTGTATTATCAGAGATAGCTTTTAAACCTGATAATACATGACTGCGAGTTTTTTCAGCTGCTTCAAAATCTCTGATATAGATCAATTCATTCTTACCCTGATACTTAGATTTGGGTTATTTTGGTCTGAAAAACTGCACGTTAAGTTTAGCCGTGTCTTTATCAGATATGAGCACACTCATTAACATTAATTTCTTTTGTTTTTTCTTTATGAATTATTAATAAGTTTTTGAATATCTCTTGGTGCGTCGCCATTACAATATTCATTGATTGCTTTGAGGCGTTTACGCATGGACTTAATGACGTTTAATTACAGACAAATGTTGAATTATGCTGAGATGCTTTTTTCGAAGATGAAGACTCCATTTTTAACACGTGGAAGGTAGATATTTTATACAACTATTACATGAAGAATATGAACAAAGGACAACTGGTGAACAGCAAGTTTTACATTCCAAAATAGCGGCCAAAGAAAGCAGTCTCGAATATCAACACAAGGAAGATGTGGAAAAACTTCATTTAGCAAGGAAATGATGCCACAAGACTGCAATTTCCTTCAACCCTCTATGGTTTCAATTTTTTCCAAATTTGGCGTATTTGTAATCCCTGCAACAGTATGGATACCGTGTTCCTACCTGTGTACCAATAACATATACTCGTGTAATTATATAAAAACTTTCCACCATCCACACGCGCACAATTTTCAATTACGAAATCCACAATGTATCGTAACGGTGTATGACATTTGCAGACTGCAGACCGCAGACTGCAGACTGCATACCGATATTCGTGTGAAACTGATTGTAAAATAATACACATTGACAACATACTACTAAAGGTGACGTCATCATCAATAAAGCTTCCAAGAAAGTAAGAAAGTAGCCCAGGCCTGGGTACGAGGTTGATATTTCCCGCGTAAAGTGCATTAGCCTCGTTCCCAAGTTGCTTTTGGCTACAAAGCTCTAGAAGAACAACCAAACGATGGCTTCGGATTCCAAGCACCATTCTTTCTTTTTCTTCTTAATAGGTTATCGTTGTATGATGACAACAAGTAGCCTACTAATACTTGTCTGAGTAGTATTGTTCAGCAAAGAAAGTTTTAGATGCCGTGGGATATTGCACAGGAACAGTGTCTTATACGTTCTTTGTACGGCACGCGGGAAGCGAATATTGGAACATAAACATGCGATTTGTTTGAGCAATTTGTCTGTGGAATGTTAGAACATACCAGAAATGAACTAAACCTTGCAATACCGGAAAATTTGTACTCATGCCCTACACTGCTTCTTCTCAGTTCTTATTCTTCTTCTTCTTTTTTTTTTTCTCCAAAAAGTAAGAATCTATTCTCCTTACTTGCTAGCTTCCTTCAGAAAACAATAGCTCGGTTTGCCGAAGAGAAAAAGAGAAACGAGCCATGAACGCGGGCGGACCATCGCCTTGTTCTTTCTTACTTTCTTAGAAGCCTGGGAACGAGGTCATACTTCTATCATCTTCATCTCCTTTATCAATACATGTGTATAACTGGAGTTTCGGTGTCAATCAACTCACAGGGAGCCGACGCTCACAAAAGTCTCCTCAAATTAAGGATTTGTATGGAAATGTATCGTAAGATCGATAAAACGGTGAAAATGCACATACTTTATAAAGAGACGTCTCTGTGTTGTTTTAATGTTTCCTGTCCAAAAAAACGACATTTTAGCAAGTTTTGATGTTTTATCGATCTTACGATAAATTCCCATACCAATCACAATTATAATTTAGCTTCGAGGAGGCTAGTTGTAAGTCTGCGTGCCCTGTGGTCAAATTACTATTAGTGAAAACAATTTACAGTCTGCAGTCTGCAAATGTCATACACCGGTGTTGTACGAATGTCGTCGGTCTAATCTACAGGAAGTCATGGCGCACGATTGTCGTAAGCAAAACTAGTACCCTCTAAATCAGCCTTTATGTTACATTGCATACTTACATAAAACATTCACTGTGATATTATGGCTAACCGGACTGCCCACTCCATTGTTAGCTGTACAGCGGTATTTGCTAGCGTCAGTTCGGTTGATCCTTACAATATTCCAAGTAGGTTCTGTGTGTAGCACTTGACTGTCACTGCCATTCTCAAACACTCTAATCCAAGTGAATGTAGGGTCTGGTTTACCGGATGCTCCACAATACAGATTAAGGTCTGATCTTTCTTTCACTGACTGGTTACCAGTCACGTTATTGAAGAATTTAGGTGGGACTAGAAGAGAGAAATCATATTTGACGAGAGAAATACAGTGGAACCCCGAAACAACGATATACCAAGGGAGCAGTAAAATGATATCGTTATAACGAGGAAAGGTTATATCTAAACTCCCGATATAACAATATCGCCGTAAAATAACCGAAAATATCGTTGTATCGGGGTAAACCTAACATGTACTTTTTTAGTGCATACATTATTTAATTTGTAATAAGTATCAAATGACTTGACAAATGTAACATTTCAAGCGCGCAGCAATGAAAAACAGTTTGCAAAGCACTAGAAGTTTTCAAACTCTACATGGTAAATTCCGTGGTGTGAATCGTACAAGTGTATTTGGCGTTGCGACTGTATCATCCTTACTCATCGAATTGCTCTTAAAAAGAAATAATTTATTATTATATTTCCTTTGCAATTTAGTTCATTTCTTTTCTGCTGTGTATTGTGCAATGTATCACATGCACCATTTATTTAACTGTCATCAGCACTGAACATTTGGGTATAGCTGCAATGCAATCACAGGCGTACGGGCACCTTCGGACTTGGGGGGTGGGGGAGTCACCTTTTTGCCCGAAAAAAATTAAACTTTGCTCGAATACCTGAGTTTTGTAATCGGAATACAAAAGCCCTTATATTCTATGAAAAGGAAGAAAGTTTACAATTCCCACACTTAGTGACACGGTTCTAATTGCAGAAGTATTTATTTTGAAATCTTGCATACTCTATGATCACTATCGACAGTCTACTCGAACTAGTAAAATCAGAAACTTATCAATCACAAACTGCTTATTTATCCTGTGGCGTTGTCCGAAAATGATAATTATCCTGTCCATGCTGTTCACAATGACTTCTGTTTTCGTGCAATACTTCAATTACTTCTTCAGCTGTTTTTGTTGTTTTCTCTACGTGTGTTGTCTTGAATTGACTGAACAGGCTTTGGTCTGCTTGGAGTAGCTCCTTGTCAAGATCATAGCACCTGGCAAAGACGTCAAAGCTATGACTGGTAGGTGTATAACGAAGGGTGATATCACCCAACGCACAAAGAACATCTTGGTCATTTCCGCTGAATCGATTCTCAATCTCGGCCAGGATCTTATCTAGAGAGGTGAAAAAGAAGTTGACACGATGGTAATCCTCAGGTTTCGATAGCAGACGAGCAGCATTGACGTTTTGGTTTTCCCCGACTAACGCTTGTAAACGCGTTGAGGGTTTTCCTCCTGGCACACGAGCATCGCGAAATGAGAAATCGGATTCAGTAATCCACGACTTAATCTCAACATTAATACATTCGCACAGTCCCCACACTGAGGTGAAGCTCTCCTCAAAGATCCCAACTCAGGATGGACACCGCGGGAAAGAATGAATGAATGTAATCGATATGGAGCTGCCCTCTAATACAACCAGCCTTAAACGATTTCTGGGTCTCTGTAACTTCTTACGTGATTATATTCCAAACATGCCTTCTCGTAGCAAGTACTTGCGTGAACTCTTTAAAAAGGATACCCCCTTCTCATGGTCAACACACCACTCCACGGAATTCGAGGACTTAAAACATGCAGTTACTGGTCCTGATGTTTAACTCTTTCATCCAGACTGGACTTCTCCATTTGAACCTCATGTTGATGCAAGCAAGCTAGGTTGCGGTGCTATGCTTGCACAGTACAAAGACGACGAGCTCCGCCCTGTCTGATTTGCATCAAGACCCTTCACTCCAGCTGAATCCCGCTGGCACAGGTTGCAACAAGAACTGTTCGCTGTTAAGTGGGGTCCAGAACAATTCCGTCCTACATTCTTGGCCGTCGAGTCAAAGTCATTACAGGCCATGCAAATTTTAAATGGCTTACCTCCTTGGCCACACAGCGAACTAAACCAGCACGGTGGTGTATGACAATGACAGAATTGGATTTTTACATTGAACATCGTCCGGGAATCACAGACACTGTACCTGATACCTTAAGTCGTCAGCCTATGTCAGACGTACCTTCATTTGATAGGAACCTTATGCTCCAGAAGATGGCGTGAACTCTTTTGTCCTACTTGCAGTCTCTATGGACATCCCCAATCATAGTCCCACCCTGATACGCTCAACGGCACTTTTGCTTACCTTCGCCGTATCTGCCTTGTAGCTCCCGTCAATGTTGATTCTTTACCTTATCCTGACTCGTCTGTAACAGCTTCAATTGATACCAAATCTGAGGACTATTTACTTGCCTTACCTGGACTCAACCAGATTACCGGCGTAAACTTGTGTTCAAAGTTCTCTCTTCCACAGATGGGAAAGTGAAATTTCCAGGCGTTCCACAGAAACATTTGCAGTGGGCTCGCCGTTTCTCCAGACGTGCAGCCATCATAGAAGTTGTTCTCATGTACCGTGACAAATTGATGGACAATCCAAATCATTACCACTATGTAGTCCTTGATGATGTCCTGTTACGTAGACATCTGTTAAGAGCTCCCTCACCTCTTCCTCAAGCTTCATACGCTAAAGAACTTATCAAACGTTCCATTGAAGCACGAAAACAATTTGACAAAAGCAAAGCAGATCTTAGAATAACTAAGCGAGAATACCATGACATGCATTCTACAGATGTCCATAAGAGAGAGTCCAGTCTCGATTCTCGACTCATTGATTCCCGACTGATGCGGGGATGAAGAATGAATCGAGAATCGAGTGTCCAGTAGGAACTGGGTAACGAGAATCGAGTGCAGATCCATGAAAGTATAAAGAATGAGTGTCAACTTATTTTAATAATCTTAATCATTTTAATCAAAAATAAGCTCTAAAAATGATTCCCAAATCACAGCAAAAGCTAGATTCTAGAACATGTTACTTACAAGTTAAGTTGACTTTAGTACAAGACAAGTAGTCCAGTCAATCTACGCATTTTTGAGGCCCAACATCCAACATATTGCAACAGGATTGTTTTGAACGCCAATTCAACGATTTGCTCCCAGTTGGCCTGTTAGCTTAATTGGTAGAGCGCTGCACCAGTATCGCAGAGGTTAAGGGTTCGAATCCCGCACAAGCCTGAGACAAGTTGCGTATATAACTGCGATGATCTTCCTTCATATAATTCTTCACTCCGCAGTTCACATATATGATTTTCATATATTCATAACTTCAATGAATTACATGGAGATAATAATTATTGTATTAAGCATAGTTAGGCTAACAAACGGGAACCCAAGGAACTTTAAATAAAGCAAAAAACAAAACAAAACAAAATACATTTATGCACCTGAATAACCGTTTCCAGGGTTTGAATTTCTTCTCCTTATAATTCAATATTACAACTCTCACTGTTTCAAAAATTAAACTGATCTAGATACCGAGCGTAGTATCCACAGGTAGCAAAAAATAAAAAACCCAAATGAGATTCCCAAATACACATACAGTGTACAGTGTGTAATGGTATTTTATCAGTCGATCTTAACCTTCCATAAACTATTTAATTCCAAGTCATAAATCTGCAAAATTATCATGGAATGATGTATACACGTGGTTTATACTTCATTACACAAGGGTCGGAAAAGATGTTTCGAATGCTTGAGTTCTCTTCTTCTTTCTTTTTTTGAAGAAAAGATGTTTCCATGAGCCACTTCATAGATTTCTTTTTAACTACTATTATAAATGGTGAGTTAAATTGGATTTGAGTGAAAGGACTTCCACGATCTTTTTTAGTTTTAATTAATATTCTCACTACACTTTTCATAGCTGATTACCTTGGATGAGTGGTTAAGGTTTGTACTGTACCTCATTTGTTTTTAAAAGGACCATGAATATAAAATTAATGGATAGGATATATATAACATGGAACCAAATGCACTCTCCAACAGCATATTAAGTCTACTCATACACTAAGTATCTTAGTAAAAAAAAGTCTAGTCTTAAGTCGCGGAGGTGCAAAGGGATGCAGAAAGAGGAGACAAAGAGATGCGCAAAAGCCGTAAAAAGAAACTGAGCGGTACATGTACACTTCATCCGATTTATGATTTACAGTGAATGCTCGATCTGTTGGACTCAGATTCTACATTCTTACGTACATATGATCTGGTTTGTTTCACCCCGCGGAAGTCTATCAATTTTGTGTGTATTGGACAATGACCCTCACCCGGTAAGCAGTGACCCTCCTTTTCTCGAGTACACCAAAATCGAGGACGAGAAAGGAAGACTCTGCTAGTAGGGTGGATGTGTTTACTCAAGATCTCTAGATTTACAACCAGCCCGACTTCACTCTCTATGAGTTTGCCTTCCATCATTCCCGTCTCTCTGATGAGTAGAGGTCACTCTGCACACAAGGATGAACTGAATTGTACTGCAGGCTACTTGCAGTAAAAGGATGCACTTTTCTTTAAGAAACTTAGTAGTTAGGTAAATGGAGGTATAGGCGCATTCGCTTCGCTCACGCGCCTATACACGCTTCGCTGCCTATTTACCTAACTATTGGGGTTTTAATGGAGCCAAAAGTACTATTATTTTTGGCGTATGGAGGGAGTATTGAAGGAAAAAAAATAAGTCTTGTAGGGGCCATTTGGAGAAATTTATGCATCTTTTGGTGGTCATTTGAACGATTTTAAAATTGACCAAATGGGGGCCATTTGAATGATGTTTATGGCTAGAGAGGGCCCATTTGGACTAAAATTCTATTTGAAGAGATACTATATTGTAATGCTGGAACAAGAGAGAAATAATAAAGCCGACCAACGAGAAGCTAATTGCCATATTGTTGGTTTTCAAGGGAAAGAAGCTAATTGCCGTATTTCCAAACAATTAGTAATTGATAAGTGCGTTTATCAGATTCATCCTATTTATAATTTGTATGCTGCTTCCAGAGATGGGAAAATAATTCATATTATAAAACAAGATCCAAATGCAGGCTTCAAACAGCCTAATGGTTATATGCGACACAGGGTTAGAAAATATGGAGCTGCAAATTGGAAAACATTGTTAACTGGTGTCTTAACATTATAAATATACTTGTTTCCCATGTCCAAATGAGTTTGTATTGGAAATACACTCTCTTTTCTACTAATAAACACATCCCTGACATCTTCGTAACACACAAGAGTATTTCTATTGGCGTTCATCTGTTGGAAAGTCTGTTGCTTGCTGTTGATGACATTGTAAGTATTTTTAAGACCAATATTCTGGTCATTATCATGTTTATCAACCAGTGCTGTATCAAATTGATGTTTTGTTATGGCATCACTGGAAGCAGTTCCTTCAGCCACATTTGTGAGTTTTTTATTCACCATAAATAATTTCCACCTGATGTGAGATTAAAACCAATTCCAGGCCTACCTTGTACACCTTGAAGGGAAGTCTGGTTTTTAAAGTTCAGCAATCCATTTGAATAACTCATTATACATATGTTAGATTATATCATTGAAATTCTTAGCGACACGCTTTTTAGGCTTATCGACATAACTGAAATCATATGGCTCCTGTGTAGCATTCTGATAGTGAAATTTGTTGATCCCAAGCTCTCTACATATCATATTTTGCTCATTACTGGAAGGAAATTCAAATATACAATGATGTGTACAATTCAATCGGATTGTTTTATCAGTGCCATAGTAGCACTGTCTCAGATAGATACAGCTACAGTTTTTATTTCTGGAATTAGTAAAATAATTCCTAATTTCAGCATCATTCTTTGTTCCTGTATTCAGATAATCATCGAAAATGACCAGCTTTTGATTATCACATGGCATCTTATCCAGAGGAATTATTTTATCATTGCTAGCTTCAATAACAGGGTAGCCAGCTTCTTTAGTAATAGGCTCGAATAAGTCTACAAGGCGTTGGTACTAGCTCTGTTGCAGATTTTTAGCATATAGATATATCTTATCATAATAGAGCAATCTATAGATCATATCCAGAAGAAGATTAGTCTTGCCCGATCCTGAAGGACCGCGTACGAGCATTTAAAAGCATCTATCAGGCATAAATGGGACGGTTTGTCTATAGCCAGATTGTTTATCCTCTGCATCACAGTTTAGTATTTTCATTCGTAGATACATATTAGTTACACAAGTTTTTAGTTCAACTGTTAGTTCAACTACTGGTTTTTTACTAGATCTGTGAATTTTGTGTAACCTAATAGTATAAAAAATTAGTTTGCTTAAGTAGGAAGGAAATGGCCAAGAGAAAAACAGAATTGGGTAATAAGATTAATTTTGTTCATGCTACAATCCTGAAAAATCAGTTGGGAGAAAAGGTGAGCCAGGAATCTTTTCAAAAGACGTTCAGACCAATAACCTCTAAATTAGATGATGTTGCATTGGGTAATCTGAAACTGCCAAGAAAACGTGTTAACAAAAAAAGGGAAGTCTCTGATTATGGTATTCCAATATATGATGAAAATATTTCTGATTATGGATTGGATGATCTATTTGATAAAGGCATACCATCAGAACAAAATAAACAATTAGTCCCAAAACCGCTTCCCTCTGAGGAATCATTAGCGGATAAGATGAGTGAAGGGAAACAAATCTATATTGATCCTCAATATTTACCTCCAGAATATGGTGGGAATGAAGGCCCCGACTATGCTTTAGACGAGGACGACTATGCTTTAGAAGGGGAGGAGGACAATGCTTCAGCAGTGGAAGACAGAACTAATGAGATTTTGGAAGATTTGAATATCACTCATTATGACAATGTTGATAAAATTCTAAACCAGCCTGAAATGACACCCCAAAAGACAGGATCCTACCTCAATAAGGTAATAGCTACTGCAAACGTTCGGAGAAACCAGTTGAAGGTTTACAAGGCACGAGTTAGACAGGCATATAATAAGGGTACCATAGGAGGAGTAGAAAGGGCCCGGTAAAATAAAAGAATAGATAATACAAGGGTTGTGTTAAACGAATATTTCAATTATCATGAGAACTGGGCTAAGCAGATTAAAGGTTCAGGAATGAGAAAAAGTAGAGGTGGGAGTGTGATGTTCTTCAATAACCCCAAGCAATTGCTCAAAAAGTTACAACTAATTATCGGTGAAATAATGGCTGGTAATACATCAATTGATATGCGCAATATGGGAGTTTCAATACTGGACACTCTTCTGAGAACTTCAACGATCAACAAAAGCCAGCATAATAAACTGTATAAGCAACACTTTATCTAACTACTATACATAGATGGAACGAGAAATAGTTTTATCCTCCTACTCGGTTAAAAACGAGGGTAGTAACAAGCCTGGAAACTTTGTTACCAAATTCATAAAGCCAATAGTCTTAGACAATAATCATGAGTATGCTATTGACCTCAACAGAATAATCAACATGAGCTTCACCTGGTTCAATATAAATACTGGGTATGATAATCAGCTTGTCCCGTTCAGAAGCGATTCAGGAACTAATTTCACAAATATATCATTTCCGCCAGGTGTGTGGAATTACAGTGATTTCAATTCATACATCAAACAGAAGACGGTTATAAAATCACCTGGTAAAGACGATGAGTACCCCATCACTCTTACATTTGATGAGACAATCTTTAAAGTGACAATTATACTGAAGACTAACTACCAGCTTGATCTGACTAAATCCAGTTTTTATGAGCTGATTGGATTTGATAAAAAAGTTCTCACGGCTGGGAGCAATGTAGGCGCAAAAAGTGCCAAATCCTTGTCAAGACACTGATATATTGAACATTCATTGTAACCTGGTAAATGATAGTCTTTTTGATGGAGAAGAAAGTGACACTATTCACAGCTTTAGTACAAGCGTCGTAAGACCATCATACAGCTTTACTCTTGAGCCAAGAAGAATCACATACAATCCGATTAATAAACAAACTATCAGCTCTATTAGAAGGTATATCACAGATGGCAAAAGACGGGTCGTGGATTTAAACGGAGCTGATACTTCATTGGGCATCATTCTGAGACGAAGAGTAGCCTAATTTTGTATAACATTATAATATAGATAAAACCATATGAATTTACGAGATTTTTTCACCCGAGGCTGGGTAGATTTATGTATAAGCATAAAGGAAACGGCATCATGGTAGATAATATTCTCAAACCAATGAGAAAAGTTGCATCTTCAGTAGCCGAACCAGTTGTCAAACCATTTGCTAAAAAAGCACTGCAATCCAGTATTTCCCATGCTGGTGATAAATTGGGTAAAACAGCTGCTGAAAAAGGTGGTGATTTTATCATGAAAAAGCTGGCTGGTAAATTCAATAGACCATCAGTTGGAACTAAACCGTCTACACCAAGATCTGTAAGACGCAAACAGGAATCAACAGACATGGCAATAAACCGTTTGATATCTGGATCAGGAATAAAAAGAATGAGGCGTAAAATAGTGTAACCTAAAAATATAGATGGCTTTTAGATGAAGATTGCTCACCCAGGCAAATAATGATAACGGCAGCAGAGGAGCTAAAGATGTCAATGTCATCATCCCAATGAACAGATACGCGTTTTTTGAAGAGCTGGAAGACGAAAAGTTAGTTCCCATGCAACTGCAGTTTAACATAGAATTGAATAATGATGATGAATTGATACATAAGGCCTACGGTGCTGATGCTGGCCGTATTGTTGTCAACAGATTCCTCCTGTGGATTGCAAAGTTAACCCCAAAAGACAGCATGTATGACAGATTCGTAAGCTCATTTTTAAAAGAAACACAGTGGAAATACATGAGAGAATTGTACGAGGTTTCAGTGCCAACTCAAGCAAGTAGATATTTCCAAATATCTGCTAGTATCGATAATGTAAAGCATATTTTCGTTTACCTGAAAAATTCTTACAGAGATAACAATGGCGATAGACATGCTGAACTTAGTCCATATCTGATGAATACTTTTTCACTACCAGGAGGGGCATCTCTGAGCAATTGCAGGTTAGAATATGGTAATGGCATCTTCTACCCAGAAACTGAGTATGATAGTGACAGTAAAGTCGGAATATTCAACGATCTGATGGCATATGCTATGAGAAAGAATGATATCAATACTAGCACACAACTGAATCTAGCAAATTACAACAGTCTGTTCCCATTGATTTATTTTGATCTGAATTACCAAACAGAGAAAGTAACAAGAGATCCCAAGCAATTAATATTTAGATACAGATTATCAGCCAACGCGGGTGAGAATTTTGCTGTACATGCTGTTGTTCTTTATGAAGAGATCCTGAAAATTGATAAGATTGGTAATGAACTTGCAATTGTGTAAGGTCCCACTAATAGTCCAGTCAATCTAGGCATTTTTGAGGCTCAACATCAAACTAATTGCAACAGAATTGTTTTCAACGCCATTTAAGTAAGGGTGGCCTATCTAGCAACATACTAAAAATCCGCCAAAATCCGTTCGGTGGAACATGTCAAAATTAAGCGTTAAACATTTTGAGCTTTTAACACAGGGCACCCACGTTAGTTGAAATTATACGTTCAAACAAAAAATGCGCAAAAAGTGTTTGTTACTTTTACGGAAAAGTGAACGAAGAAAGAATAACTGCTACCTAGTTTTCGGTGACAAAAACGACGTGTTTCTTTTTTTAAAAAATGATAAATATTTAACACGGTTGGCTTTTGCACAGGAAGCCCATGCTTCGCTAAAGGAACGCCAAAATAACAGGAGGCTTACAGAGTAATAGAGTGAACTTTTGGCTGTAAAACTACAACAAATTTAGTCGAAAGGATTTAAATCTGAAAAATGAAAGCCGTTACTTAATCACTAGATTTAAAAAATATATCCTTTTTAAATCAGGTTTCTGTGAGGCACAAGGACTACGTTCACCCGGACGATCAAACTCAACCTACTTTTGAAATGACTCCTGGGTTCAAACCTTTCACAAAAATATATATCAGAGCTGGATTTTTGAATAACGTTACAGCCAAAATAGGACTCTCCCCTCAAACAGAAGTCAAAAAAAAACTAGCAGTGCAGCCATTGTTTTTCTTTTTCTTCTCCCCCTTTCTTTCTCTTCGCTCACTCTATTTTCCCTTTCCTTGTTCTTTTCTAGGAGGATTTTCGGGCTCATTTTGCCTTCGGCTTTTGGTCTTTTTCTCAGTCAAAAGACTGCAATTTTCGTTCGGTACGTTCTCAAAAATCGAGCAAGATAATGCTTTGGCTTTTACGATTACCTACACATTAATTTTCGTTAACGTACCGTCATCCTCAAATATACCAGTTTCACTTTTTTGAAGCTTTTCGTTTTCTTCTTGTTAAAAGTGAATGGAGAGGAGGGGAGGATAGTTAAACTAATCCTTTACGATGCACAACAAGGCAGAGTTTTTGAGCAGGTTAAGCTCCAATGCGTATGATTTTGACAAGAGGGAAATGCGTTTTCATTTAAGGAAAAGTGCTCTTACCTTCGCAAACAAAATTATAAAGGTTAACGGAACATTCATTGCATAAGAACTTTGGTTCCAGCAAACGTTCGTTTCAAGAAAACGAAATAGTACAATAGGGCAGCTGCTTTTTAAGGGAAACACATACTCTGGTTAGCCAAAACAATGCGTATGTAAAAATATCTTCTAAGAGTCTATGGCATGCAGTAATGGAAATTCCCCACGCAGAGCATAATTCACGCAACTCAGTCAGAAGGTTAACACGCAGTAAGTTGGAGTGTTACACAACGTTCATCCGAAGAGAAACATGGGTTCCGCAAAAAGAGGTGAGCCATCAGAAGCTAAGTCAGGCAAGCCCACTAATGTTCTTGTACTTATGTCAAGTACTTTCGAGCCTTCATTGACCACTGCAATTATTTTCAGACGTATAGGATCCCATAATCGTTGAGAAAAAGGTCTTCATTTGTCAAAGGACGAGAAAAAACTGAAAGGCTGAACTAAAGGTTCAGGGTTGTTCTCACAAAAGAAATGCAAGGAGGGAATATAAACGCCTTTAGACCACAGAGCGATTAATCTACTTATTCATCTTACCAAGAAATGAAGGGCTGCCGGAGAAAATACAAACTGAACACAGAGATACACAGAACTAAACTGAACTCTGAGACTCGCTACGAGAAGAAGATTGAAAAAAAAGAACAATCACACTGCGCTTGGTTTCCCTTACTATAGATTTGGCCATGTGTTATGAAAAGCGCAGACCGTTGCGATCGAGCAAAAAACAAATAGACGGAGTCTTTAGCAGAATATTTATTCACTCACATTGTAAAGTACAGAGTCATCATCCTAAAGGAGGTTGCGTATGTCGCGAGAAAAAAAAGGATCCCTGATTTCGATCAGACATATTGTCCAAGGTTCGAACATATTTACCTCACAAAACTCGATTACAGAAAATGGGAATAGATTAAACAGTTTGTACAGATACAAAGCTATCGTCCGTTGCAAACATTTAGTCGCACGTGTCTTGCAGCGTGCATTCAAATTAAGTAGCTGACTGAAGAAAACAAAATATCAAATTAAATTGTTCACCATCAGTCAGCCACTAAATTTGCATTCATGCTGCAGGATATTAATAAGAATTACAAGCCTGTAAAACTGCTAAAATACTTACTGCATTTCTGACATTGTGCAAAAAAAACAATTGCTAATATTTTAACCACGTTAACAAAGACTGACTAATAATTTCCATTTTAAATACTGTCATAGAAAAAAAAAATTAAAGGTTGGAAAACAGAATGTGAAGACAGACGAGTGGCTGGGTAACCTGTGCAACGCTCTCAAGAAACACTAATCCACGTGTTTCTCACACATTTAGTCGGCGTTTTTTAAAACAAAACTACCCAAAATATATTAGCGATGTTCTATCGAAAATTCTTCAGTAAAAAGAACACAATTATCAGATGTTTTGTCTGAATTTGTGATCTTCCCGAAATTGGGTTTCCTGTGGTGGAAGTTGAAAATCTTTATTGCCAATTTTTCTCATGTTTCACCGAGCCAATTTTGGCGGATTTTTACTATGTTGTTAAATAGCCATCCAACAATTCAATGGCGTTGAAAAAAATTCTGTTGCAATTACTTTGATCCTAAAACACAATTTGACTGGACTATAAAACCACTGACTTGATTATTATGTTTTGCTCTGCAATACATGTTTATACAGATCGGTTCACAGACATGGGCATCATTGTCATTCGTCCCCCCTGGCTGAGGTGCGAATTCCTCGCAGAGCTGCCGCTCGTGCTCATTTTCTGGTCATAAACAAAGGTGCTCGACAGTTCTATCTGAGCTTCGACACAAGGTAGCTTACAATCCCAATACCTTTTTCCTGAATTGGAAACAACGTACAGCAGGAAAAGCCGTTGAGGATACATTGGAATACATCAAAATGTATGTAGCAGGAGTTTAAACCAAAACTACCAAGGGATATTTTAAAAATGTCGAGGAACAAGTCATTCGACGTCAGAGCAAAGTTTGGAGCAATTTATAGTGCTTCTAAAACTGAAAACTATCTTTTAAAGAATAGCACGATAGGCAATCAATGGCGTCAACCTTTGGAAGTACGTCGATGACACATCGATGACACATCGATGGCCGAGACAGTCCACAAGGGCCAACCAAGTGGAATCCAATTTGCTGTAGACGACCTAGTTAGGCAAGCCGAAATAGATAAGTTCCAATTGAATGAGACCAAGTGTAAAGAGTTGCAGATAAGTCTCTCAAGGTCTGTAGATCCTTTCGAAGCAGTTACTATTAACAACAAACCAATTGAGGTTGTAACTAGCGCAAAACTTCTTGGTCTCACAATTTCAAACAATCTAAAGTGGAACGCTCACATAGAGAATGTTATCAAAAAAGGAGCCTCTAGGCTATATCTATTAAGGCAGCTTAAGCGTGCAAAAGGAGATCCCGCGCAGCTACTTTGTTTCTATACTACGTGTATCCGGCCCATGTCTGAATATGCCTGCCAAGTTTTCCACAATGGTCTGCCTGAGTATCTCTCTGAAGAGCTAGAGAAAATTCAGCGCCGTGCACTTAGAATTATTTTCCCAGATTTAGGCTATCAAGAGGCTCTCAAAGAGTGCAATATTTCCACCCTCCATCAACGGCGCCAATGGCTGACAGAGCGCCTATTCAATGAGATTAAGGACAACAGCCTCCACAAATTACATGGCCTTTTGCCGCCTCGTAATCTTAGTACTGTAGCCTTAAGGAGAAAGCGCGCTTTTAACGTACCTCTTTGTAGAACAAATAGACTAATGAATAGTTTTATCATGCATAACGCGGCTATTTTCTAATGGTTTTATTGTAAATTCGCGGCTATTTTCTTAAATTTCATGACGTAGTATCTTTGTTCCTTTGTTTTATTTATTTACTGTTATTGATTTATAATAGTTAGTCTTAGTATTCAACGTATTGTACAGTCCGTAATCCAGCCCTTGGGCTGCAATGGATTTTTAATAAAGCTATCTATCTATCTATCTATCTATCAATCTATCTATCTATCTATCTATCTATCTATCAATCGGCTTCTGTTTTCAGAATTAGCAAACACTGAATTTACTTGTCCCGAAAATTCAAACCTGTGTCTCCTTCTTCCTGATAGTGATTTATTTTTGAAATTCCAAAACAATTTCACAGCTGAATTTTGAGCGACTTTTAGTTACGGACTTCTGCTCCAACGATTTTTCTGAAATTCCTCTGGCATATTTATTATATCAATTAAAGCCGATACCAGAAATTTCAGTAAAAAATATCAGCAAAATTTTTTACTAGACGCGATTTTCTTTGAACATTAGGGTCCTTTTAAGCGCTAATTTCTCAAGAAATATTTACCATCAATGAAATCGGAATATTTCGTATTATTGCCGAATGATATCTGTTGTTCTTTGCAAAGTTTCGCAGCCATCGGGTTAAAATCGAAAAAGTTATGACGGAAAATTTGTCACAGCTAAATGCTCTTGTATTAATTACGGAGCCACCTTAAGCCGTGATGTTATTGGCTATGAAGACTCGTAATCAGTAACTGGTGCGTTTCGATCCGTCTATTGTCACAGTTAAACAGTCGTCTGTTGTTAGTTAAATTGTCAGTTCTCCAGTCGTTCTCTCGTAGTTAGTTTGATCTCGTCAATAAGTCGTTTGTACGGCGCTTGTAACTGTTGGCCACGATTCAGTGGCATTTGTTCTAAGTTAGTAAACCAGCTTTCTAAAGTAACACATGTCGCAGAGTCCCAGTCAATTTGATGTTTCGTCTGTAAATAGTGCTCAGCAATGTGATTGTTGACGTCACCATTCCTTGTCGCTCGTTAGTGTTCGGTCAGTCGCGCGCTTAGTTTTCTGCCGGTTTCACCAATGTAAGAAACCTGGCAGTCGCAGCATTTGATCTTGTATACTGCTCCCTGTCTGTCCTCCGGTTTGCCTTTGCCCTTGACATTAGTAAGCAGTTCCTTCTAACAAAGTCCGTGTTGCAATTGTTCTTACTAAAAACGTTGTTAAGATAATCAGTCTCGTCTTGTAGGCTGTCAGGTGAGTTGCAAACTAGTCGCACTCGTCTCGTCAGAGTCTGGATAGTAGTAGCCTTGTGAGAGGTCGGATTGTACGAAGACTGGTCTCGTAATCCGTCAGTATGTGTCGATTTTCTGTAAATAGTCGATTTTAGTTTGTCGTTGTCGCGAATGACCAAGCAGTCTAGAAAAGGTATCTTACCATTTTCTACGATCTCCTTGGTGAACTATATGTCCGCGTTCTGTCTGTTAAGATGTTCGTGAAAATCGTCGATTCCGTCTTTATGTACAGCGGTGAATGTGTCGTCAACGTAACGTAAGAGGTACAGTTCGTGTGTAGGTAGCTAGGGCTTGTTCCTCTATGTTTTGCATGACAATTTCTGCTACAACAACAGAAACTGGAGAGCCCATAGCCGTACCGTGTAACTGTCTGTGGTGTTTGCTGTTGTAATGAGAGCACGTCAAAGTCAAAGAGAGGTTGAGTAGGTCCATAATGTCGTCTGTAGGTAGTGATACATGTAGTTCAACCTACTTTTGAAATGACTCCTGGGTTCAAACTTTCACAGAATTATATTGTAGCCTATGGATTGCAAGGTGAATTCACTACCATACATCCAGGATTATATGATCAGCATAGTGCCTTTGTTATAAAACCCACAGAAGTTTCCTATAATCTGGATTTGGACATGAATAATGACATTTTTATGATTTCAGTGATGTTAGTAACTATAGACTAACATTAGGAGCATCAGGTATTACATTTACAAGAATAAATCCTAATTTACCATTCCCCCAAAGGACGATAAGCAATGTTAATGTTGGTGGACTAAGGTTTCAAGGACAGACACTAAGTTTGACATTATAACACAGTCCAAATTTCACAATATGCATTGTCATGCAATTGTGGCTAAATAGAAGATTTATGATTGAATTCCAGGTTAAAAATTCTGTTAATAGACCAAGATTAATATATGGTACTACAACCAAAAAATTATTTCTGGAAACTAATTCTGGTCGAACTCACATTCCTTTAACAAATGACTTCAATGGTAAAAAAGTTGTTTTCTGGATGGCTGAAAATAGTAATGCCAGCATTACAAAAGCAGCAATATCTAATTATTCCTTTAACACAACACTCAAATCGTATACCAAGTGGTAGGGAAACTTCTGGAATATCACCACAAGACGCAGTGATCTATAAAGTAATGTATTCCCCAAACTTCTACGACTTTGATTCCGAACAATGTCACAAAATAATGATTCAAGAGAAGTTAAACGGATCATAATATATCCTGTAAATAGTCTGATACACTAATACAGGTGACCAAAAAAGATATATTCCATTTCAACCACATTAATCCAAATATTGATATAGAAACATTAAAGCAGTTTCAAGATCTCTACGTGTACTATCATAAAATAACGTGGATTTATCAGCACTCTCATAAGAGGAACAAGAAAATAAATTATGCTGAGAATATAGCGAGCGAACTATACTACCTATGACCAACGCAGTAACCTTTCCCAAGAAAATTAATGATGACCATTGTCAAAACCTGAGTGACCATTTTTGTAGGACACAACAAATCAGTAAGAGAGATACTGATACATCTAAATACCCTGGAGAGGCCTTTAAACCATAATATTCAGGTATGTATTATCTGGTTTAAGTACATTAGAGAGGATTCCGTAGGTTCCATACGTTCTGTGGGTTCCACAAATTAGATATGCTGGCAAAAAAAGTAAAGGAAAATGAAAGGGGGAAAAATAGAAGTAGAGGCAAAGAAAAAATTAATACATAATTTATGGTAAGAGGAATGCTTTATGTAAAATTCTTCTTTGATCGATTTCATTTTGTTTTTTCAAGGTCCAAGTGTTGACCGTTTTTGTTAAACAAGAGAAGACTGGCTATAACATAGAAGTTTCAGAAATGTTTGGTACAGTCACCTGGTAAAAGGTTTAAAGCAGTACCTTGCATTGATTTTTTACATGTACATGTATATCCACATTATTGCAGAGTTGCCACTAAGATTTTAAGTTGCTGGGTACAACTGTAAATACAACAAAATTAATAGGCAGGGAATCTAACAGCTAGGGATTTCCTTTGGTTCTATTTTTCGTCTATTTTCCTATGAAATTAGCCGGGGGCTAGGCTCGTAGTAGCCAGGCTGGGGGAAATCCCTGGCCCCGGGCCCTTAATGACAGTCCTGTTATTCAATCTTTCTTTTCAAAACAATAATATAATCAAAACAGTTGGGCATACGTATAAACTATTAAACAATGAAAGAACAAAGTTTGCATATGAACAAGCTTTTAGTACTTACAATAAACAACCACCTCCAGTTCATTCCTGAGATTATCACTAGAACCACGTATAAAAAGGGAAAATGCATACTGTCCACCATCTGATTGTTGTACTTGGAGAATTCTTAGCCAAGCATGAGTGTCTGATATATTTGCATAAAATCGGCCTTGTAGTTTGTATTTCCCTTGCACATTAGTGGGGGAATTTAACTCCCTTCTTGCAATTTCATCCTCTTTTCCATCACTAATAATGAAAATTCTTCCCAAGATAACTGAAGCACCAAGAGTGTAGTTCCACACAAGAGTAAGGTCTTGTGCCTCAGTGGCAATTGATGGATTGGAAGGGAAGTCTTCCAACTTTGTTACAGCAGCTTCTAAAGAAAACAGACCAAGATGATAAATAATAATGTTGATAATAACAATAATAATTATAACTAGACATACACGTATCACAACTCGCCAAGCTCAGGGGGGAAGCTCATAAAATGTCAGGGAAGGAGGGGGAAGAGAATTGGAGAGTAAATTGTGTAACTGAGGAGGGCAGGTTTCGACACTGACTCTAAGATGAGATGTAGTTAATCTCCTATTGGTTGGAGTAAATTTGAACCCAGCCCTCTGGTATTAAGAAGGATCTAACATAACATAACATAATATTTTATTAGCATTCCCATATATACAAAAATGGTATTGCTTTTTAACTATTACAATAAATTATAATGTTAATAATATTGGATATAATCAAATAAATAGATACTATTAATTAAAAGTAAGAATTAGTAATCTCTACTTCCCATGCTTTTGTTTCATGGAATAAGTTTATCTCAGTTGAAATGCTTCTTGAAATGCTTCAGAGACATAGTAGCTAAGTTTTTTCCAAACATATGGATCAATATTGTTAAAAAAATATATAACCTTTTCCGATTTGTTCAAGTCTACGAATTTGGAGGACTTGGCTTCTACTTTCTTGAAAAAAATGTTTTCTTAAATTGTCATATAAATTTCATTCTCTACTTTATTCAATGAGCAAAACTGGCATATCCTAAGATTCTCAGGAATTTTACCACTACAACACGAGGAAAAGGACAATCTAAATCTCCCTCTATGCAGAACAGTTACCACGCAACGGTCATTTTACTATCACACTGTAAGTGCCTGGAACTCTCTGACCGCAGACACTAGAAATAGCCCTTCACTATGTACCTTTAAGAGGAGCGTCAAACGCGAATTGTGGGTGCAGACCCCATGCATTAAATAGTTGATATTTGATTTAGTTTAGATCTCCAAAGAGATAACGTAATTGCACGCGCATAGTTTAGGCTTTTAGTTTTGTACCAAGATTGTAATTAATTTAAGCTTTTTCTTCTTATCCCCTTCTTTTTAGCATTTGTAAATTTACTTCAGAATAGCCCTTTGAGAGAGTTAATAAAATTATTGTATTGTATGGTAAGATGGTATCTATCAGTTTCAATTCTTAACTTGTGATTACTTGATTGTAATTTTCCTACTGCCTGGCGGTGTTTTTCTAAATATTCTGATTTACCGGTACTAACATCAGTCTTAAAGGTGGAATAGAAATTCAATTTTTTGTAAGATTGCAACATATTCATTTGATCCTTTATTTTGAAGTCATCTGTGATAGCCTGTTTTATTTTAGGCAGCTTTGAGTTAACCAATTTTTGCTCTACAAGAATATTAGAGACCTGTAATTTATTATTAGAAGTGCTACAGTGAAGTTTCATGATTTCATGAAAAGACAACATGAAAGACACATTTCCATTGTTTGCTAGTTGATTTGAAAGTTTAAGACATTGCCTTGCAATACTAGTATCAGGTAGATGTACCCAAAATTTATATTGTTAGATTTAAGTAATATAGTCTTCCAGCTTCATTAGGAGATATAATGTTTGTAGCTCTTCTATTTAGGCCAATGAAATGTTTGTAAAATTGGAGGTGAATTTTTTCAGTGGGGTCTTTTTCCCATTTGTTCGTATCAGTTCTGTCTTAAGCACCCCATGCCTCAGAACTGTATAGTAATATAGGAAGAAATAGGGCATCAAAAGGTTTATCGCATATAGAAACTAGCAGCTTGTTAAAATCAACCCGCAATCATGGTGGTCGGACGCACTTATGGGCGCTCCGCGGGCTTCTTCTTGTCTCTATGGGTTTTGGTCCTATAATCACAACTATACACTCACACATCGGTAGAGAAGGATTTTGCGTTTATAAAGAGGCCTATTGAGGGATTTGAGTATGAAACATGGAAATTTTTCAAGCCCTCGTTTCTTCAACCTTCAGTCAAGAGCAGAAACCATCGCTTGCCCGCTGACTCGCCACCAGAATTTCAATAGCTCTAACGGCTTTATTAAGCCGGCTTATTGCTGCTCTGCGGTGATATTATCAGCCAGCCTGGCCCTATAATCCCAACAAGAGCGCAAAATGGAGGTCTAACCCATCAGGAACAACATAATCCTTCGAAACAGCAAATGACACCTCGCCTACTAACACTTCATGCAAACGCATGAAGCATTGTCAACAAAACAAGCGGGCTTGAATTAGACATAGCATCTTCGAGTTATGATATTATCACTCTAACAGAAACTCATTAAGATGATTCAATCTCTGATGGCGAGATTCTACCCTCAAATTACACGGTTTTGAGACGAGATGGAAAGATTAACAGTCGCTCTGGTGGAGGGGTCCTTATCGCAACGTGTGACTATATCAAAGCAGTTCCTCATGACACTTCGCAATACAACTCAGAGTTCATTTTTGTCAACCTGCTTCTCTCTCATAATCCCAAAGTTACATTGGGTGTTTTTTATCGTCCAACCCAATAATGACACTAAGCCTTTAGAAGATCTACAGGCTGCTCTACAAATGCTCTCAGCGAACGAGTTAATTCTTCTAGGTGATTTCAATCTTCCAGAGATTGACTGGTTGAACACCACAGCTCTGAGGCAATCCAATGTCTACACACTATTCATGGATATTGTTCAAGATAACTTTTTGACCCAATTGGTAAAAGAACCTACGAGAGAATCGAATATTTTGGACCTAGTCCTTACAACCTCACCTGATTCTATAACTGACCTATCCATTGGAGAACCTTTTTCAGACCACAATTCTATCAATTTCTCACTCTCCGTAAACCTTATGTTCAACAGAAATCGCAGAGACTGTTCTATTGCTATGGTAAAGCTGATTAGGACCATCTGAGATCCTTATTATCCTACATTCCCTGGGACTGCGTTTTCTTTGATGATAACATTAATCAAAACTGGGTTTGTTGGAAAGACCTACTATTCGCGGCAGTAGACGAATGCATTCCTAAACTCAAGGGTAACAAGAAACCCAATGCTCCCTGGATCACCAAGGAACTTATTGCCTTGTGCAAAAAGAAAAGATCTTTGGACAAACGTGCTCACAGAAGTAACAAAGAGACCATTTGGGAAAAATACCTACGACTGAACAATTCTGTAAAGAGTCTCTACACTGAACACAGCTCGATGAGCATACATAAACAAACTAGCCTCCGATTTGAAAAAAATGAAAACCCAAAACCTTCTTGGAATTTTATTAAGTCCAAGAGAAGACGAACTAACAATCTTGTTTAATTAAAAATCAATGATGCTGTTGTGACAGACAACCTCTGTATTGCTCAGTGCATGAACTCCTACTTCTCCTCTGTGTTTACCGTCAAAGATTATGGTAATTTTCTTACCCCAGATTACGTTGTTGTCAAGAGACTCGAAAATATCAATTGTAGTGTCAATGAAGTAAGACGCCTCCTTGTGAAACTCAAGCCTAACAAGTCCCCTGGGCCTGACAATGTCGCACCTTGCATTTTGAGAGAATGTGCATCGGAACTGGCACCTTCACTGGCGCATATATTAAACAAATCATTCTCCTCTGGTTTATTACCCAATGAATGGAAATGCACTGATATCACACCATTACACAAGAAGGGCTCTAAATCTCTCAGAGAAAATTACCGCCCAATCTCTCTTACTTCTATTGTTCGTAAAATTGGCAAAAAAATTGTTTTCGATAGGTTGCATAAGTTTTGGCAAGAAACTGGTCTGATAAATAACAACCAATTCGGCTTTCTGAAAGGAAGATCCACTGTAACACAACTCTTATCATCGTTGAATGACTGGGCTAAATCATGTAATTTGTCTCGCCCAACTGACGTGGTTTTCCTTGACCTGGCCAAGGCATTCGACAGTGTTCCTCATGAGCGGCTCCTACTGAAGTTGAAAAGTAATGGTATTGACAGCTGCTTTCATGCCTGGCTCAGGTACTTCCTGACAGGACACAGGCAGCGCGTGATTCTGAGGGGAACTACGTCTCATTGGTCAAGTGTTACCTCTGGTACCCCACAAGGGACCATTCTCGGCCCATTGTTATTTTTGATCTATATCAACAATATAACCAATTGTGTTTCGTCAACTGTGAAACTTTATGCTGAAGATACAAAGATCTATCGTCAAATAGTCGACCCTATTAAGGATCCTCAGCTTTTACAAATGGATCTTTCGAACCTAATGGAATGGGCACACAAGTGGCAGTTACGGTTTAATGCAGACAAGTGTGAATCTATGCGCATAACTCATACACGCGATAAGTCTATTACGCAATATATGTTAGACAAGCCTTTGAAAGACGTGAACAGCTTTAAAGACCTAGGCGTTACGATATCAAAGGATCTCTCATGGGACAATCATATTAGCATAACTGTGAACAAAGCTAACAATCTATTAGGTTTAATCAAATGTTCTGTTGGCACCACCAACGTAAATGTTTTCTCAACACTGTATTTATCTCTGGTACGACCAATTCTTGAATACGCTGTACCCGTTTGGTGCCCTTACCTCGTCAAGGACATTCGCGCCTTGGAGAGTATACAAAGAAGGGCATCTAGATTAGCACTTAACCAACACAAAGGAGAAATGCCTTATGTTGATCGTTGTAAATTGTTGAAATGGCCGTCGCTTAATCTGACCGTAGAATTTACCTACCTTTAATTGACTGCTACAAGTTCGTCTTTGGATACTATCATTTGAATTTTTATGATTTCTTCGAATTCTCAAAAGTTGGGTCTACAAGAGCGAATCACCTCTTCAAATTGTATGTTAAAAGTGCAAGACTCGATTGTTACAAAATAATATATATTTTTTTAAATAGAATAGTTTCAAAATGGAACGATCTTCCAAAAGACATAGTAGAGGCTGAAAGCCTTCATCATTTTAAAAATAAGCTTCATCATTATCTATTTGACAAATTTTAAACTAGAACCGTGCTTCAATTAAGCCCTTGATTTTTGAATACTTGTATTGTATTTGATG